ATCAGACCGCCGAATGATAAGCAAAGCCGTGTGGCAAACCTGACCCAACTTGCAGCAATTTCCCCACGTGGGTAATGTGGGTTGATATTGAGCATGTCAGACCAGACGAGGCTTGACGGAAACATCGACCGAGTAGCCGCCCTGGCTCGATCGGCTCGATGTGAAGGGATCCTACATGACTAATGTCATGATTGGAGTTTCAGGTTCTGGTTGTGCCCATTTATATGCCCCTGGCATCTGATATTTGCTCACAATACCCCACCAATCAGCAGCCCCTGAAATCAGACTCTTGGCTCGGCCAACCCAGATTTTGGGAATCGTCAACTGGGATCGTGCTACCGTTGTGATCGGAAGTCAACTCAGAGTGATGGTGTTCTGTGGCAAGTTTCAGGACCCCGCGGAATCACAATATAAGTTGTCTGATTGCTCTACTAACCACGTGCTGCCGCCAGAGATTTGTTTCAACTCGCCTCTTCCAGAATTCAACAACAGGATTTTGGTCGGTAGGGAGCATAGTAAGACGGAAGTACAAATATGCAGCTGTCTCATCTGGGCGTAGCTCTCGATCCTCTTCGATGAATTGACATTGCACAGGGAGTCAGGATGAGAAAACGACGCATGTAAGATGGAAAGCCCTCGGCCCCACTGCCTCCAAGGGCCAAACAGCCCGTGCTTTTAGCCGCCGCTGGTCAGTGGCCACTAATTCCTTCCACAGTCGTTGTCATTTCAGTCGCCTAACGGGTGGTGAACCGAGGCAGGGGAGAAAGCCCCTGCTGACGGGTTGACTACTGGCGGTCTGAAATGAAGCGTTCTTGGCCAATAATCTAGAGGCACTTTGGAGTTTACTCTCCTGCGGTATGCGGTGTTTCCTCTTTTCATCCAATATTGGCGTCTCCAAAAGGAAACATGATCACCGCCAACTGTGAGCATCTGCAGCTCTTAAATGAGCCAATCTGGAAGCACCACCGGAAGGTAATGAGGGAAAGACGGTGAGTGGATTTGTTTTCTCGGCACCGGCCGCCCGAGAGGTTGGGTATGATGCTCATCTGCTTCTAGAATTGTCAAGGATCGATACGTCTCAGATTCTTTGTTAGGCGGTGACTTCCGTTGTAGATCCCTTTACCCTTTGCCCTAGAGATAATAGTTCATCAGTACATGTAACCGAAACGATTCTGAAGCACAGCTATCAAATACCTATACCACACAATGCAACGGAAAACAGAATTGCAAGGTTTAATTGCCCCTAAATGTAATTTGAACGAAAGCAAACAAACGGTTTCGGTTGGAGGTGTTTTTTGGTACACAAGTGCTGAATATACATCTTCATTGGCATCATGTGGTTGTTGTTTTGAGCACAATTGATCCAATGAGAGTGACTTTGAGCAGATAATTTCATGCTCCTGGGCTACCGGGGTATACTGATTACCCAGACGGTCCCTCTTCTCCGGCGACTGATCACCGTTACATGCCGCTGAGGCCGAGAGTACGCTATGTCCAGTTTTGTGTTTCGCCAGGGTTTGAAGTGTGTGACGTGGGATCGCGCAGCTGTGAAACACCACACACGACGCCTTCAGCGTAATGTGGTCTTGCCGATCTTTCCAACAGCTATCTCCTTATGATATATGATGGCCGATATAATCGATTCATGAGTTTGAACTCACGCTCCATTGTACAACAGTTTCACTCGGCTAACCAGAAGGGTCCTGCAAGCCCCAGTCTGGATGAGAATGTGTTCGAGATGTCATCGTTAGAATTTCAGGGCAAGCTAGCTCTTGATGGTGTGGCCACTCTCTACCGCGCGGATGACAAGGGCCATTGGCTACCTACTGAGATGTACTTATGCGCACCTATACAGAAGTTGGCATTCAAAGCACCTTCATTTCAGATCGGAACTCGGCAAACACACAGCAGGGGTGACTGCCTTGCTTAACCGAGTGAATTTGTCCTCTCATTCAGATAGCGTACAATTTCGATCTCCCTTTGTGCCTCCCAGCCCTGAGACACAAGAAGGCGATTTACGATTAATGTTGTCCAGCATGTATCGAGGACGTCGTGGGCAACTTGGCGCTGAACCAATGCCGTCAGCCTACTTCTCAATGCGGAGAGAACTAGATCGGCAGAATTGGAGTATACTGAGCACAATTTTTGGCCTGGGCTTTCAAGCGAGTGTGTTGCCATATTGGTCGTCGATGTGCGGTGGGGGCTTAGTGGCTATAGGGAGGTGAAGATAGCACGGCTTTCTATGGCGATGACATAGATCGTTGCCAACTACTTCTGTGTAAAGGCAGCAGCATACATGAGAGACCTGCAAGGTTTCGTATCGTGCTTGGTAGACCATCGAAAGTTTTGGAAACCAGTGGCAGATCTTCTACAAGCATCCACCACGAGCCGATGCGGATGTAGGTATATAAGATAGACTCGGCAGCGAGGTCGTTGGATATACGCAAGTCGATGTTTGTCACTTTGTTGATCGATTTGAGGGAACCTAGAAAGAATAAGCTATGATCAACCACAGCGGACAAACAATGTCCGAGATAAGATCGTGTCTCCTACCTTCGCCTACTCCACCGGCAGTGGAGGCCCGGAATCGGATGAGAGAGCGGGGGATTCGCCGAGACCAGGCAATAGGGATCAATTTGCTCGTTCGAAGAATCCAGGATCTTGTTTTCACTCACTTTGCATTGACCTGTCTTGAATTTCGAAATTTTCCACTTCAACGATATCACAAAAGCCACCATGCCAATCTACCACATAGGTCTGTAATGCCTCACCTCGTCTTTAGGCCAGTCGATTGTGTGTATGTGAGGCCAAGTCTAACGTAATTACACCAACAGTGCTCTTCAAACTCAAGCCTGGGGTTACAGACGCCCAGATTGCCGAGATGCGCGCCGCTGGCGAAGCCATGGTTGGGGTAGTCCCAGGCCTCAAAAGCTTCGAGATGGGACCTCCATTGGCTAGCACAGCACACCGATCACAGGGCTTTGATATGGGCCTTTTCACCATCTTGGAGACAGAAGAGCAGGTCCTTGCCTATGCAGGCCACCCAGCTCACCAGAAGTAAGCTCGAACCTCCCCCTCACTTGTTGAATGTTGAGATCACTGATCAGAGTTGGGAACATGCAGGGTTCATAAGATTCGGGAGGCTATTTGCGACGACACCTTGGCATATGACATGGTTCTGTAATATTTCCGTATAAGCTAGAGTAGAAGCTTTGAAATCAATGCCTAACATACAATGATCTATCTACGAGCCTCTGGTGCTGCTTGTTCCCCTAACTCAAAGCCTCATAATGGAGAACCCTAGACGAAGGATTGACGATGCTACACTGGATTGCTTTCTCCAGGCTCCCCCGCTCTACCCCTCTCTCGTGACCATCATAAGACCATCGGAGAGGCGGCGTCAAACATGTGCAAATAGACACGACCCATCGGAGTTCGTGGCGGGGTTTGGTGGATGGGCTGTTTACCCCGGATTCAACTCACCCCGCCGCAATAAACCCCAGGAACACGGGGGCCGGTCATCGGTGCTGGCATGAGATCATTGTAGAAATAAATATCCCGAATACAAATTTTCTCTTGAAGTAGAACTGAGCCTCTTCCTTCACCAATCTTACCTGATTATCCCAGTGGTCACATAAACCCCCATATTCACCCCCCAACATAAGAACATCCTTAAAATGGCTGGTCAAGGTAGACTATCAGGCAAGGTCGCCATAGTTACTGGTATGCAATTGGACTTATCCCAGATGTCAAAATTCCGTCAAGTGTTTGCTGATCTAACAATCACCAGGCGGAGGCTCCGGCTTTGGCCTCACCATTAGCGAAGTGTATGCTCGCGAGGGCGCCAAGTTGATCATCGGTGATCTGAACACAGTCGGTGCCGCCCACATTGCCGAGCAATACCCAGGCAACATCGTCCTCCAGCAAATGAACGTCACCAAGCGAGCCGACTGGGACGCTGCAGTCGCCGCTGCCCACGAGAAATTCGGCACCCTCGACATCGTTGTCAACAATGCCGGAACGAGCTACAAGAACAAGCCCACTCTCGAGGTGACCGAGGAGGAATATGCCCTGTGCTTCGACGTCAATGTCCTCGGCATCTTCCACAGCGTGGCTGCTGCCTTCCCTGGCTTTGTAAAGCGCAAGGGTGGTATCATGGTCAACATCAGCAGTTGCGGTGCCTCCAGACCTAGACAGGGTTTGGTTTGGTATAACGCAAGCAAAGGCGCTGTATCTAATGTATGGCTTCTGGAGACCAATCCTCGTCAATATTCTCCGCTAACGCTGAATATCTACAGGCTACCCAGGGTTTGGCTCTGGAATTCGGACCCCACCAGATCCGCGTGAACAGCATCTGCCCTCTCCTTTGCGGAACTGGCCTGTAAGTGAAGTCTGTTGCCCATTTATCTCTACTCATGCACTAACTGCTATATGAATAGATTTGAGAGCTTCGCTGGCGTCCCTGATACTCCCGAGAACCGACAGAAGTTTTTGGGCAATGTGCCCCTTGGCCGCCTTACCGAGACCATCGACGTGGCAAACGCCGCTCTATACCTCGCCAGCGATGAAGCTGCTTTCTTAACTGGTGTGAACCTGAATGTTGATGGTGGAAGGACGATCTAGATATAGCACGAATCATGGTTAGATAAAGTGGCTCTCAATCAATCAAAATATTGAACCTGTAATGAGATATACCCGTGGAAAGGATTGAGGTGCATTTGCCGGGAATTCATCTGAGTGCTGACTTGTTGTTCGTATCGTCGATCCAAACAAATAGTCCGCATCTCATGCTGGAGCAGTATTCTGAGTGTTATTCTGAATAACAACGAGGATTTACTTTATAAGAATGATCGCAAATGACATGATGATCACCTCGACCATCAACAACACCTATCTTGTTAATAAAAGTACCAAACATATCTACTAGAATACATGTGTGAAAAGGTACCACAATAAGGTTGTCATTTTTATATTGGCACCGTCTTTTTTTAGTGATGTATTTACACAAATTTACTGACGGTTTGTCTGAACTTCCTGGCCAGACCCCAAACACTCAATTCCGTCAACGCATCGAGAGCCCCCTGTTTTGCTTCGTCGAAACTACGCCTATCACAGATATTCGCTATGGCACCAAGAGAAGCTGGGCCCCCATATTCGATCCACCGATTAATCTGCCTCATCGCATTGGCATCTCTCATCCATGGGATCTCATCCAGTGCAACACGAGGTAGTGCCAAATTTTCATCTATGTCATCTTCATTAAAGGTTGCAAATCTGATGTACGCAAGAAGGTAGGCGTAGCCCATGAATACGCTCAGAGTCTCGCATGGAGTATTGATAGTGCAGTCACGAGCAATGGCAATGATGACGGCGGCGTGGAAGGCAAGACGACGAGAATTTGTAGCGTTTGATCGGAAGATGTGACGTAGGCGGTCCTTGGCAGCTTCTGCTGGTCTAGCAGATGGATGATTTGCTTCCAGGCCCGAGTTGCGGAATATGCTGATGATAAGGTCCATTGTCTCATCGCCGGAGCTGATGAGGTGAGATCTATGGGTTGTGAGAGTCAAGACACTTGATGACTGTTAGTAGGATGATGATGAAGCCGAAATGGATAAACTGACTTCATATTGACGACATCAGCCGTACACATCGGTTTGCCTAGTGAGGCATCCAATGCTTCAAGGCTATTGATGAGCGTTTGCCGCGTCTGGAGATGAGCTTCCGTCATAGCTTGAATCCCCAAAATACCAGGCGCAGAGGCATCTTGGACCTCCTTCAAATCGTAGAGAATACTTCCAATTGCCACGGCACACAACCTCATCGCCCAAGCAGGCGCATCAGAGGGCACCTTTTTCTGGCTGATAATCTCACGAAGTGTGGGGTAGAATAGTAGTCCAGCGGGAGGGCTCGAGGTGAATGGGACAAGTGCTGCCCATGCTCGAGCCGAATGAGCTTCCCAGATGCTCTCGCTACAAGGCAAACGTGGTGGGAGCTCGGCGATCCGAAACGCGGGCTTCTTGGATGTCATGGTGGAGAGCGTGCAGTCAAACTCGAAAACCGACCAGGCCATTCGCTTTGCCGTCTCCTTGTCCCTCCAGGCTCGCCACGCCTCGTCTAGTTCGACGTTGCTCATAGCCTTGAGTTTCCGGAAATCGAGACCTAGAGAGTCAGGGGTTGAATTAATGCTGCTCTCTGACGATAAGAGACCCAATCCTCGCAAGCTTGTTACGAGGAGGCCTCTGGAAGCATCGGCAATCTCATAAAGACGCCTGTTTCCTGTACCGAGAGCGTAAATTTGGTGCAAACACGATGCGGTAATATAAGCCGTATTCCGAAACGCGGAACTGTCTTGCTGGCCCTACAGACAAAATCGAGTTAATTCCACTTTTCCTCTAGAGTTGAAAAATGACGAATATGATTGCTTACCATCCAAAAGAGTGCTCGCTGAGTTATCTCAGCAAACAAAGTAGAAACTTCATTTGACCCTTCGGCGGTGGAATACGTGGCCCCGAGGCACGCCATAGCAGCCAACAACGGCGTTGGGCACTTCTCGATCCTCCAGGTTGGTATGTGAATTACCGGAAACATGTTATGAAACTCTGCAAAATAGACCCTTGTATATTCGCTGAGAAAGGCGACCGCGGGCATAGCCTCGAGAGCTGGTGTGTCGTTGAGTGATGGGATTTGAGGCGCGGAGAGGACTTTGATCAGGTCGCCCAGAATATTCTTCTGGATCGTGGGGCGGGAAGCGACGGTCTGCTCAAGAATTTGTTTTAGTGGAGGTAATTTTATTCTTCGAAAGCCCTGATTCGAAGTGTAGTCAAAGGGCCATGCTTCGTTCCCTCCTTGATCAAGGACGCCTGGCCAGTGTTCCTTGTTTTCCCAATCTTTTTGCTGCGTGTGGCGCCTGATTTCAGGCTGGTTTCTTTCTCCAAGGGCTGGCCTACTACTGCTTGGCTCGCCTTCATAGTTCCTCGGGGATGTGTCGTCTGCTAACATGGGCTGGCCACAGACAGAAGGTAGCCCGGTTGTTGGATCTTCAGGCACTTGTCCTACTGACATTCCAGGACTTGGACCCTCTGCCTCGGTCTCACCACCGAGAAGAGTATTCCAACCGTAAAGGTCAAGCTGGAATGGATCAAGAGGAAAGTCAAATATACAGGGATCTACAACTGACTTGTCCTGATCCGTGTGGCTATCCGTCTCGGGATGATCACCCATCAACTGGTCAAGAGCGCCCTGACCATCTGTCGCTGGCTCTCCTGACCCTTGAAGTGTGTTTTCTACACGATATGGAGGAGGAAGAATCCCTTCTTGTGGTATTACCGGAGACCTAGAGAAGAAGAACTCTCTGCTACCAGTCTCACAGCCTGACGTCGTGTCGGTCGTAATAGTAACGTTTGAAGGGAAATCAGTCAGAGAGTTACACTCCACCTGCTGTCCTGATACTTGATCACTATCCTCAATGCTTGTTCCATCAATGTCGGGTATGTTGATGGTACACTCATTTAAGACATTGGCAGCATCAACCAAATCATCTAGGTTCCCGTGCCGAGCTTCGTCGATGCGGGGTGTTTCTCGACTCTCGTTTATTGTGCCCCCAACTGGCGTCTTTGTTACAGGTGGGATGACTGTCCCTGCACCATAGATGCATTGCTCTGGATGGTTTCGGCAGCCGGTACAGGGCAACTCGCGAGAGCATCTTATCTTATATCGGATGCATCGGCGACAAGACTTTCTACGACCGGCAACTCGGGTGGCTCGATCTGGGTCGTGGACACTTCGTTTATGCCTTTGGTAGACGTCTTTCCGTGAGAAAGATTTGTCGCATATCTGGCAACGGAATGTCTTCGTAGCAGTGCTTGTATCTTGATTAGTGGGAATAATCGTGTTATATAAGTCAAAAGAATTGACTTACGTAGAGTGTCGTTTCAAATGGCGCTGTAGATGCGCAGATCGAGAGAGAGTAATTCCACAGATTTCGCATTCGCAGGATCGTTTATGGCTCCCAGCGGAAGGCTGTCAAGATATTAGCTTCCCTGCGGCCAACTCCAAAAAATGGATTGATATCAACGTACTGACGAAGCTTCTGAACGCGGCGAGGAGTCCATCATGATAAAGTTATTATCTCAGTGATTGATGGTTGGGATCGGAGTACGAGACCAAGAGGCTGCTGATCCCACCGGAGTTGCGTACGAGGAACAATGAGTCCCCCGCTCAAGTGCTTTCAGCGGAGAGTCTGCATGTCATAAACTTGGGCTTGACTCGTGCCAATTCCAAGCTCAATTGGAAAGGGAAACGATTTCCCGGTCACTACCAACGCAACACTCACCGGTCTCGCTGGTGGACCAGTTTCCCCTCATCAGTGTGGAGCAGAAGGAGTGGACTACAAGTCTCATTCCCTAGCTCTAACGCGGGGAATCTGGGGAATCATTCGTCTCAGTGCGATTAGAGGCCACGGGTGATAAGATTTTACGCGTCACAAGATGTTGAAACGACCGGAGTATGAGGCGGGGTTGTTATTTCCATCAATGCCTAATATCCGTACTCTCGAATCAAGCCAGACGAGGTGGATCCCATTACCAGTGTTGTGGATCGTGAGCAGGGTCATCGGAGTTTGTGGTGGGCGATGATATCCGGGGTAATGAAGCTAAGCTTGATGTGTAGAGTCCGGACACTCACTTCACTGGCAAGGATCTTGATGCATGAACGTGATACTAGTGTATATTCGACGCAAATAGTTGCTACGTGGCAAGAACTAGTCTACTGGGCAGGTTTTATTATCCAAATCCTGGTCTTAGTACTGTCCTTCCAGGGTCAGTGTGCCGGTCTTGGTGATGAGGTACTCGTTGATGGCAACGTCTTTCCCAGACTCCTTGCCAAAGCCGGAGTCCTTGATGCCGCCGAACGGTGATTCAGCAGCGGAAGCGTTTCCTAGATAAATCAAGTCAGCATTCATGTAGACGCAAGAATCGTGTAGTTCGTTTCAACTTACCGGTGTTCATTCCAATCATGCCAGCCTCAAGGTTTTCGAGCAACCTCCATGTTCTGTCAACATTTTTAGTGAAGAAGTATGAGGCCAGTCCCATCGACGTGTTATTAGCGTTGCGGACTGCCTCCTCTTCAGTGTCAAACGGCAGCAGAGCCAGAAGTGGTCCAAATGTCTCCTCGTTGGCCACTTTCATCTTCGGCGTCACCTCATTGATGACTGTTGGCTCGAAATAGTAGCCTCCGTCTTTCTCAATGCGCTTGCCACCTGTGAGCACCTTGGCGCCTAGATCCGTAGCGTCCTTGATTTGACTAGCGACCTTGTCCAAGCCAGCTGGGACGGTGAGGGGTCCCATTGTTGTCTCTTTGTCGATACCGTGACCAACACGCAGTCGGCTGACATGCTCGGCAACGAGGTTTGAGAACTTCTCGTACACTCCTCGCTGGACGTAGATTCGATTGGCTGTTATGCAAGCTTGGCCAGCATGTCTAAACTTGAGCGGCATAAGAGCTAAAGTTACACATTAGTCAAAGTTCCTCATTTTTTTCAATCAATGTTCATACCTTCTACAGCTTGGTCCAGATTGGCGTCATCGAAGATGAGGAATGGGCAGTTGCCGCCAAGCTCCAGGGTGAGCTTCTTCAAGGTGTCGGCGCAATGGGCAGCAAGTAGCTTTCCGACGCGCGTCTGTACTGATCAGCATGGACTTGGACAAAGAGACGAAAAGGGCATATAAAACATACCGAGCCGGTGAACGAAACCTTCTTGACCAACGGATGCTTGCAAAGGGCCTCGCTCAGAGAAGGAGTATTAGCAAGAGTAGTGGGCAGCACGCTCAAGACGCCCTTTTCGAACCCAGCTTGCTCTGCCAAATGCGCCAGACTCAGTGCAGACAAGGGAGTCTCCGGCGAAGGCTTGACGATCATTGTGCACCCGGCTGCCAGCGCGGTAGCAGCTTTTCGCAGGATCATGCTGTGCATGTCAGCCGTCATGATCACTTCAGTTCTCATTCTGTATTACCTACGCAATAGGAAAATTCCATGGAACCAAAGCAGCCGTCACACCAACGGGCTGCTTGATGGTTACCACACGACGGTCAGGAATGGAGGGCGTAAAGGTCGTCCCTTGAATCCTCTCCGCCTCGCCGGCAAACCATCGTGTAAAGGATGCCGCATACTCGACTTCACCAAGTGCCTCAGCAAGCGGCTTTCCAGTCTCGTAGACGAGGATTCTGGCGAGGTCTTCCTTATGTTTTCGGATCAAGGCGTCCCACTTGGCAAGCTTACCGGCACGCTGTCGGGGATTGACCGTTCGGTACTTCAGGAAGGCATCGTAAGCGGTTTGAACGGCGTTATCGACATCTTCGGCGGCAGCATCTGTGCAGGTGGCCCAAGGCTTCCCGGTGCCAGGGTCTGGGGATTGTTAGATCGTAGAAAATTGAGATTGTGGGATTGGGGCACATACCAATGATTTCAAATCGTTTGCCTGATTTTGCTTCTACCCACTGTCCATTGACGTAGGCCTGGTCTTTGAAAATGCTTGGGTCTGCCAAACCGAGCTGGAAATCTTGCATGTTAGAAAGAAGACGCATCTCTTCGGAGGTAAGATCTTACAATGCTGGGTGCCTTGCCTGCCGCCATTGTGCTGTCTTCTGTTGTCGTGGTAGAAACAAACTTGAAGATTGCCAGAGTAAGAAATGTAAACAGTATGCTTGAAGAAAATACTAGGATAAAATGGACCTTCCATCTTCTTGTAAAGAATGATTTTGACCAGCGTAAATGACGGCATCATCACCCACCACGTGTTCCGTTCCGATGTAGGAGGGAGCATCTGCCCCGCGAGAAGTCCGATCCCACCACCACATCGACACTGTTGCTCCGCGCAAAACCCGCGCGGGGAATGCTCGCCATACTGGTGGTGACCATAATTAGCCCGAATCCGACGTTAGGCATGTTTGGGGTTATGGATTCGTTGCTTTGGATATTGGGAGGATATCCGGATTACATGTGATGCGACAGAGAAAACCGGTCCTAGCGAACAGCAACGCAGGAAGCCCTTGTTACACACCTTGAAACATATCAATCCATTCAATCTAAAAGTATGGCATGTCTTAATCAACTCTTGTTTCTTGTCCCCTCCCGCCATCGCGCCATAAAGTTGGCTCTGAAAGCCCGAGTTCCAAAATCACAAATGCATAGGCAACTTATTATGCCAATAATGGTTATCGAGTATTTTAACGAGTCTCAACATTTTAGAGGACTTTATTCAAGCACTATTTTCTACTATAGGAGTTTCTTAAGGTTCTCCCTAATCGCACTGCCCAATTGCTTTGTAGAGCTCGAACCACCCATATCCTTTGTCCTCAGACCGCTGTCCAAAGTCAAGTTCACGGCATCTTCGATAGCTTTGGCCTCTTCAAACAATCCAAAACTATAGCGCAACATCAAGGCCGCACTAAGGATGGCCCCAATTGGGTTGGCAATGCCCTGGCCAGCGATATCGGGTGCCGAACCATGCACGGGCTCGAAGAACCCCTTGACAGGCTTCAACTCGGGTGTCCAGGCAGGGGCGGGGAGGTCTGCCAAGCAGCCTGATGGGAGAACACCGAGTGTACCGGGGATCACGGCAGCCAAGTCGGACAGAATGTCTCCAAATGTGTTATCGGCAACAATGACGCCGTTGAACATGGATGGCTTGGTCATCATCAGAGTGGTTGCGCTGTCAGCCAATTGATGGACCAACTCCACCTCAGGGAACTCCTTTGTGATGGTCTCTTCGACAATGCGGCGCCAGATACGAGACGAGGCAAGGACATTGGCCTTGTCACAGCTGATGACCTTCTTCACGGGAACGGCAGGTGAGAGTGCCAAGGTAGCAGCCATGCGGGCGATACGCTCGATTTCACTCCTCTTGTAGCTCCACAGATCAGACGCGTAGTCTGGTTCCTCAACCTTGGGGCCATAGAATGCACCACCGCAGTTCTCTCGCAGGACAATGTACTTGGTACCGCGGACAAGCTCTTCTCTTAGAGGAGATTTGCCCTGGGGAAAGTATTCGGTGGGTCGGATATTGGCGTACACATCCGTCACCTCTCGGAGGCGTAGAGTAGCTCCCTCAGGGCCTTCAAAGCCGCGTCGCTTGCCATCCCACTTGGGGCCACCCACTGCACCCATGAGGATGGCATCACACTTCTTGCCTTGCTCCAGAGTCTCGTCGGTAACAGATACACCATGCTCATCGATGGAGCAACCTCCGAACGCCCTGGGGACAAACTTGAAAGTGGCTCGCGCATTCGGGGAAGCAGAGAGCTGGTCTAGGACAGCAGCGGCTTCTGCCGTGACCTCAGGGCCGATACCATCACCGCCCAGGAGGAGGAGAGAGTATTCCGGCTTAGACATTTTGTATATATGATATCGAGATCGTGGAGAGATAAAAGGCTCGTCTCGTTATCGGGATTATGGAAGAGATTTGTGACTTAGCGAGTGAGGTCGGTGACTTCTGGAACCAAACAAATGATCTTTCGAACCCGGCGATCTTTTAATTATCAATAATTATCCTCGGATACAGTCTTCAACATAAGTATTCCAATGGTTCTCCGGTTTCGCAACAAACGCCGAATGTCAACAGTGCCCGGAGGATCACGCGGTGGGGAATATAGCCAGTGTTTGAAGTCTCGAAGTATCGGACTTTGAAGTGGTGAAAGTGGAACACTCCCACATCCCCCTCCGGCCACGAGGGAACCGCTGTTTTGGCTACTCTAGGGCGGACCACATGACTCACCAGAAGCGTCGGGGTCCCCATGGGGTAGAACAATGTTTGTGGTGTGATTTTCGCAGTCGTGCGCAGCCTTGCCCCTGGTTTAGCGTCGTGCCGGGTGATTGGGATGTTTGCTCTACCACGTCCTCCTCCCTGACCCTTGAATTTGATTATTTAAGATCTCGTCCGTGTCCATTCCTTCCCTTTCGAGCCAACTCTCCTTCATCATCGTTACCAACAAAACGATTACCGACATCATGGGTGACGTTACCGACGAAAGCAAGCCATCCCACAACCATGTTGACAAACTCAGCGTTGCCAACCCTGAGGAAGGAACTGTATGTCAAGTCTCCTGAGAGTGCCTTTCGTGAATACTTACAAACGCCAATTAGCTTCCCGTTTACGATGACCCTGAGACGAAACGCATCCTTCGCAAGGTCGACTATCGACTGATTCCGATGTTGACACTTCTCTATGTTGTTGGGTTCCTCGACCGCGGCAACATTGGAAATGCAAAGGTTGCGGGCATGAATGTGGACCTAGGTTCGAAAACGAAACCCCTTTCTTGATCATTGTCTGTGGCAAGTTACTAATCAGCGGTGTGAACAGGTCTGACCAGTTCCCAATACAACATTGCACTCACCGTGTTCTTCTTCCCGTATGCCTTCTTCGAAGTTCCGAGCAACATTGTCCTCAAACTCCTCCGACCTTCTATATGGATCTGCATCATGATGAGCTCATGGGGCCTGGTACGCATTCACTGAAACTGCTGTTTGTCACTGTTGGAATAATCTCTGACTCAAAATGCAGGTCATGACCATGCAGGGTCTGGTCAAAGGCTATAACGACCTCGTCATTACCCGATTTTTGTAAGCACGATTCCAGGTGGAACTTAATGAAGCATGGGTTCGCTAACTTATGCAGCCTCGGTCTGACTGAAGCGGGCTTTTTCCCGGCTGCAAACTATCTCCTCACTACCTGGTGCGTATGGGTCCCATTCTCTCTTCTAGTCTTCCACTAACGAGATATCAGGTACTGCCGATTCGAAGTGCAAACCCGTATTGCAGTCTTTTACTCCGCTGCCTCGCTGGCCGGCGCCTTCTCAGGTCTCTTGGCCTTCGCGATCGAAAAGATGGATGGTGTTGGTGATCTTGCTGGATGGCGATGGATTTTCATCCTCGAGGGAATACTTACCGTCGTCATTGCCATCACGTTGCCTTGGACCCTCCCTGACAGCCCAGAAACGGCCAGCTTCCTGACAAGAGAAGAGAAGGATGTCATCCATCGACGTCTCGAGCAGGATTCGGGAACCTCCGCCGGAACAGTGCAGACAAACGAGAAGTTCCAGTGGAAGTTCCTCTGGGCTGCTTTGAGCGAATGGAGACTCTACTTTGGTATGATTGCCTACTGGGGCAATTCGTAAGTTCCTTCGATGCGATGCCAAGTTCCGAAAGCATACTGATCTTCTCGCAGCGTGTGCCTCTATTCTTTTACGTACAGCGCTCCCAGCATCATCCTTGATTTGGGATACAGTGCTGCGAATGCTCAATTGCTCAGTAAGTCCTCAGTCCATAATCATATATCAGAGCCGGGTTAATTGTTCTATAGCTATTCCCATCTATCTCGTTGGTGTCATCAGTACCTTGGTGTTCGCCCGGTTAGCAGACAAAAAGAAATACCGCTGGCCTTGCATTGTAACTCCATTTGGAATTGCGTTCTGTGGCTTCATCGCTCTGCTGAGCATCCCTCACCCACGGTTCCCTGGACTGACCTATGCATTTCTATTCACAATCCCAGCAGGTGTTTACCCTCCTCTTGTCGGGATCCTCGCCTGGAGCGGAAACAATCTCTCACCAACATGGAAGCGTGCAGTCGGAATGGCGCTGCTCATCTCTCTCGGAAACCTTGGAGGTGCCATCGGCAGTAACATCTTCATTGAGCAGCAAAAGCCGCGTTACCCACTCGGATACGGCTTCTGTCTTGGTATCTGTGGCGCAGCTATCATCTGTGTCACTGTTCTCAAGTACTCCTGGAAGAGGGAGAACAAGAAGCGTGATGCGATGGATGAGGCTGAGATCCATTCCCGATACTCGACCCAGGAGCTTTTAGAACTGGGTGATAAGTCCCCCCTCTACCGGTATGAAAGCATTCAATCTGTACTAAAATTTGATAAGATGCTAATTTCCATGCCAGATACGTCATTTAAAGGCGCCTCATCGTTGTGAGAGAGGGATGATGAATATTACAGATCTAGTGTTCCTGATCAGACGGGCATCTCGATGCTCTGAAGGAAGCTAGTGCCTTAGTTATCAATATTTGAGTTAGAAAGTGAATGAATATCATACATGAGGACAGAAAATACACGACAGTCTGTCTTCTAAGTCTCACTTATCGTTAAATATCTTGCCAAGGCCATTGACGTTAATTTAGTATATCACCCATTTGATCACAGATCTTGATTCTGAGATCTGAGGCTGAGAAACGCGCCAAGGCACACTCTGTGAAATACTCAAAGGCTAGCTGATAGTCTCATACCACGTGCTCCCATCCATCATAAGCCGGCACACTGCTCAGCCACAGGCGTGCTCCATGAGCTGTTATCAGTCTCAGCCTATTTTTTGTCTCCCGCTAAGGAAAGTAATCTTGGCGCCTTATTCATTCGTTCATCAGTAAAATCCCTACAAGCCTCTGTTCCGCATTGTGCTAATTCATAGCGCCCACTTAGCTCAATCTTATTGACGCACCATCGATGAGTCAGACCGTGATGCATCTACGACGTAACCATCAGCTCAGACGCGTCGATTATAATCCACCCTGAAGACCCAAATACCAACCCTACTCTCTCTATTCTCATCCTATTCCAACCCACTACTCCAGTGCAAACGGGCTCGAAAGAGCCACATCCTTGCTTACCAACACCTTCTCCTTCTCATCTCCGAACTAACTGACTTGATTATTGTCATGGCGATCGTTTCCCTAGATCCCGGCGCTTATGTCTTCACCCTTCAGAATCTTCCCCAAGAAATCCAGGCTCTAATCTACGGATTCGCCGTTGTCGAACCTCCAAGATGGGCCAAGAGACACAGCCTCAAGTGTGATTTCACCCCTACCAGAGCCAAGTTAACGGAGCCACCACCTTTCGCGCTCACTGAGGTTTACATCAATCCTAAAGCCACCAAAATGGGCACCACCACGCGTTGTTCATGTGCGAAACGCAAGGGTCTCTCTCTTTTGCTTGTATCCAAGTTGATCAACAAAATAGCCACTCCCATCTTCTGGTCGCAGAACACATTCTGCTTCATGGATGCTGTCGAGTTCATCGCTGCTGTCAAGCATAACCTCCGGCCCCAGCACCGTGAAATGATTCAGTCTCTCAGCATCATCAATCCCGATCCCAGCGGAGCCCCCACTCACGTTTCCTTCGCCGGTGAGCGCTCAAAGTTCATGGACGATTTTTGGAAAACCATCAAAAACTGCCCGTCTCTTCGAAAACTGGAGGTCGCTTACGCCTACATCGAACCAACCCGCAAAGTCCCAACACACGAGCACCTCAATGAGATACCCGAGATGCTCCCAAATCTTTCGACTATCTCCCTTTCCTTCTTAGTCCCCATCAACCGGCGAAACCTTGGGTTTAACTATCCTCCGCCTTACTATTATGACGAGTGGAGCCATCAAGCTCTATATGTCAAATACTCGCGCCCTCTTTCATTGCTGCGGGAGGAACCGTGGACAGAGAGCGAGCTGCACCTTCATTACCGATACTTCCATTTCAACTTCCGCGTTTATGTCTCAACTGCGTCCAAAGTTAAATTCTGTGGCGCCGACATAGAGAAATTGGACAACTATTACGCTTCTTGGCGGATTCCCCAGACCTTGAACGCGGAGAGCAACATCCGTCGGCTGCAACTGCCGAATGGGGAGACCACAGTGGTCAAGGTGTACGGTCTGCCGCTGACGGTGAAAGCGAGGAATGCCAGGCTTAGCTATGTCAAAGCTGAGGCTCGCAAGAGAGAACGCCGCCCAGATGGGTCCAGGGTTGCTGAGCATGAGGCCATGAATTTTGCCAAACAGCGAAAGCGACAAAGTCGCCAAGGGGACATGGAACAGGAGAGAGATGAATACCAGGAACTACAAATAGCTCGTGGAGTAAGGCGCCTCGATTTGAAGGCTAAAGAGGACAAAGATGCCAAGAAGTCGGCTAAAAATGAGCGGAAATCTGTAAGGAAGGGCATGAAGGCAGCTGAAGAAAATCGACGATTGGAGAGAAAAAGGGTAGGGAAAGGGCCCATAGCATGAACTATATATCAGATATTTGATCAAGTTCTTAGCTAACCTGAATTTCTATCAACCTCAACGGAAGATTTAGCGTCCAACACGTACCATCACTGAATAGAAACACAGACTCGGTATTCTCCCAACATGCTAGATTGGTGAATTTACCCAAACACCTCGCTATTTCTTCTCCTCGATGTGAGAGGAATCAGCACGCGCGTGCTCCATCTTCTCATCCAGTATCTCTTCATTCTCTTCCTCTTCGATGGCATTTTTATACAGGCCCTTCTTTATGTCCCGTTGCCAGAGCACATAACCCGTTAGGAACAAAGACACCCAGACGACACAGAGACAAATGCTTGCGGTGAAGCCTCGTGTCCATTGGGGCCCCTCTGTAACTGGGAATACCACGACGTTATACCACGTAAAGAAAGCCCAGCCGACTGTCATCTAACGTGCCACAGGTATTAGTACATAAGATCGACGAAAAAAAGAATCCAGCCTCGAGACAGGGGAACAGTTCTCACCATAGCACCAGTGGTGAAACTCTTGGCTTCGTTATCATCTTTCATAATGAGATGCACAAAAGGGAATAGCATTGGAGTAATGCAGGAGTTGAATCCCATAAGAAACCAAGTCGCGAATTTCATGCCCGTAGGGATATACCAGATGCGGAGACAGATGTTGGAAAAGAGCAAGATTGTTCCCGAAAACAGGACTGGCATCCAGATAGGATAGACCCTTCAACGCTCATGTTAGCGAACAGCACATGATACTAGAATCAAGCATAGGAACAGTGACATTGCAGACACAATCAAATACTCACATGACAAACTGCGGGACCAAAATACCGCATACAATCGCCATCAGTTGCGTGCCGGTAGGTAAAATGTTGATCAATTCCACTGAGTATTGGCCTGTAGACTTGACCCAGATACCCATCTGGCCCCCAACCCAGGTCGTCAATTGAAAGCTAGTCGCGCACAGATTCATTAGTTTCCTGACTCAATTTTTCCACGAGCGTGGAAACGTATGGCTCACCTAGTGTAAGTAGCGACGGCAAAGTAGAAGTGCCAGTGAGTGAAGACACGCTTGAGCATGCGCTTTCCAATCTTCCTACTCTTTCGCACACCATCGTCCTGCATTCTCGCCTGGGCCAGCTTCTGTTCCGACTCTTTGAGCCACCAGACTCGCGGATTGGTTGTTGGCAGACCCGGAAACAAGAAGAAACCAGCAATGGCAATAGGGAGGCTAATGATACCATCCACGATGAAGACCCAGCGCCTAAATAAGATGTCAGCCAAACTCCATGATTTGAGAGACTAGAAGAAAACAACGCACCATCCCTCCATGCCAAGCTTCCCATCCAGCCCGGCATGAGCGGCGGCCTGCATATATCCACCAAACGCAGCGCCGATGTTGCTAGAGACATACCAAACTCCAGCTCGCTTGAAAACTTCATCGGCGCGATACCAGGAGGACAGGATGTAGAGCGATCCAGTGGCCGCAGGAGTTTCAAACAGGCCCATGAGAAATCTCATGCCGAAAATCATCTGAGAACTATTATTCCGGCACTGAATAAAAGTGATGATTGACCACAGAGTCTCGCAGATTGGGAGGTACCAGCGAGCCAGATTGGGGCGAGAGATAATCATCATGGATGGGATTTCCAGGATCATGTAACCAATGTTGTAAAACGTGCTGAAAAGGTTGTACTCGACTCCCTTGATATTGAGGTCCTCTTTCATCCCCGAGTTATAGGCATTGGTGATGTTTGACTGATCAAGCCACTTGATAAAGACTATTATTCATTAGTTTGGAGAGCTGTACACTGTCCATCGGATTGCTGGAAACATACATAACAAACAACTATCGCTATGATTAGTATAATGATGCGGTCAAAACAGTTAGGGGGCGGAGCATACATGAGAGGAAGAATGATGCGGTCTTGCTTCTTGAGAAGGGCTTTCTCTTCCTTACTATAGTGGCTTGGGTACCAGTCAAAGATGTATAACCAAGCCAGTTTCAAGTTCTTGTTGGGCTTTTTGGTCGCCGAGCTGACCACGACACCATTCTTGACTACGGGATGAGAACCAATAGGCTCATCGCCATTGACCTCCCCAGTGACTATGGGCTCCACGGTGATCTCATCATCTGCCTTCCGTTGCTGTTGAGTCGCCATTATGGCTTGAGGCTCGCTCTTCCAGGCGGGTATGGTAAACCCTCAGAGGGGGAGCTAATCCTCGCGAGGGGACACAATGAAACGGTCAAAGATATCACAGGGGGGGTGATTGAACTTCCAATGGGATCATTGAACCCAGCTGTTGATCTTGATGAGAAGAGTTTTGGACATTGAGAGGATGGGCGGGACTCTTATTCATAACAAGATTCCCTTCCAAGACTCGTCCCATACCCCATGGGCAAGGCCAAGCTGTCCACGGGGTACCGATAACTCCACATGGCGCCACCAATTTCCCCGCATGCGAGTAGCATCTCCATGGAACAGGGGCATGATTTGTGGTCTGCAGTAGAAACCCTTAGTAACCCCAGATAACAAACCCAGAAAGGATTGGCCTCGGGGCATGTAGTGCGGTCTCCGGATGAGTTCGCCTCCGAGCACGGGCTTGCGACATTGGTCACCTATCAAGACTTGCCAATGTCCCGGACAAGTAGTCCGATGCACCGGAAATTTCGGGACAATTCAAATGAAGAGTCCCCAATGATGCCTTGATAGCAGGATCATTCTTCCATGTTAGGGATGCATCGTGGTCTGAAGTGGATAAGGTTGGTCATCATGCAATAAAAAAGCGCTATGAGAGCGCATCCAAAACTCGTCAGCAGACTTTTGCACGATCAAACTTCTTGCATATTCCAGGTTGAAACCATCTCCTTTCTTTTCATGCCACATCACTACTCATTACTTGGTACAGGATACATCCCACCACGAAGTCGGAAATCTCACCCCTGCCAAGCAGAGGAACCCCAAAATTGAGCCGCTACCATGCAGAATAACAATAGCAACGATGCTGCATCCTTCAATACTCAGAATGAAGTGCCTGTGACAAAAATTCCGCTCATTGAATCAGTTCAAGCCAACCCTCAAGACTCCTCTCAACAGCCGAAAACACCGCCACATGATAAAGAGTCATTTCAGAGGGAGCAACCTCATCTGAGTATCCTGTCACCGACTGACTCACCCCGAACCCAGCCACTTGGCTCTGATGGCAGTTGCGAAGCCGACAATCAAAGCTTAAACAGCCCGCTTACAGAACCAAATTCTTCCACCGAAGATGGCGACGTCTTCAATGAGGGCATCACAATTAGCGCAGAACTCGCAGGCCTTTATGCCGAAAATATCCTAGCCAAGATCTATCGGACAGCGTGCAAATCCATGATCGGTGAAAGAAGATTCCCCGACTATTTCCCCGAATACGTTCCCCAAGATGGTCCAGATACTGGAAGCTATACATTACGTGAAGCAGAGTTCTGGACGTGTGGCTTCTTCCCTGGATCGCTATACTCGTTGCTGGAAAGGGCCATCCGTTTCCCCGCACATCTTGGAATTCCAAATGCTACTTCGTCACCACAACCCAACGGTATCAATCTACAGACCGTTCGCCTGAATCTCCATGCATTGTGTGATACCTGGTCTAGACCTTTACACGAAATGACCAGCCGTACAGACACCCACGATATAGGATTCATCGTGATGCCTGCGTTGCGTCTCGATTGGGAACTGACGGGGAATTCACGGAGCCTAGACTCCATCATCCAGGCCGCAAAGAGCCTGGCGACTAGATATGTTCCCACCTCGGGCGCCATCCGGAGTTGGGACTTATTGCTAAAGAAGAACCTGGAAATCCGAGATCAAATCGAGAATATGATCCTCATCATTGACAGCCTGTGTAATCTTGATCTTCTCTATTATGCCGCTAGTCACATGCCGGACGGAAAGGAACTCTACGATATAGCCACTTCACATGCGCGAGTGTTACTTCGAACACACTTAAGAAAGGAGCCTCCCATGTCTCTAGACAGTTCATCATATAGAGGTGCTTGGTATTCAACATGTCATGTGGCCAATATAGATCCCCGGAATGGAGAGCTCAAAGCACGCCTGACTCACCAAGGCTACGATAACGAATCCACATGGGCCCGCGGCCAGTCGTGGGGTATTTTGGGATACGCTCAGACCTACATGTCTACCAAAGACGACGAGTTCCTCTGGGCAGCGTGTGGCTTAGCCGAGTATTTCCTCCACAGACTGAAGACGGCTCCAGATTGTGTTCCCCAGGGTACCCGGCTGGTTCCTCTGTGGGATTTCGATGCTCCAATTGATGATCCCTCGGACCCATTACGTGACTCTTCGGCTGGAGCCATTGCTGCCAACGGTATGCTAGTGCTCTCGCAGGGGTTGGCTGCCGCGGGCCAGGACAAACTCTCCATCAGATACCGCCGAGCAGCGGTTGAGATTGTCCGTGAGCTTCTCGACTTTGCCCAGGCACCTGAAAAGGCTCGCCTCGTCAGGGGGTCCACAAGTGCAATCACGGTTGAAGATGAGATACCCCAAACCTTTGATGCGATCCTCAAGTTTGGCACAGCCAACAACAACCAATACTCTAAGAAGCGATATTCCAATCATGGTCTGGTCTATGGAGATTACTATGTGGTCGAATTTGGTAATCGGCTGCTGCGAATGGGTCTTGTGTAAGCTGTGGAGAGCACCGTTCTGTTCCATTTATCATAGACAACATATCTAGAAATTACAGGTTTTTCCTACTCCAATAACCAAATAGTACAATTTATGCACCTACAGCATATCACTCTTTCATTTGTCAGAATAACTGACCAACCAAACCCAGCCCAGAAATGTCGGTGACTTGGTTACCTGTAAAGACAACCGGAATATCTCCTCTCAAGTCGCCTCGGTCTTACTATGTCGAGTAGATCTTTTGATTATATGAGAATGTTTAACGTGCCAGTAATGGAGAGAAAGTGTGTCGCAAAATTACTCCCCAGTCACCAAGTGACTTGCCTCAATAAGATATCACCGCAGCTCAGTTAATTTACATTAGTAAATGAAACACGGGTTCGGCTAATTGTTCCCACTTGGTAACTTGAGTCTCAATATTACTATTTCTTCACAAAGGAGTCGGGCAGGGCATGGACTACAAGGGTGCCGGGCGAGGTCTTACGGACGACGGAACATCAACTCGCCTGCCGGCCCGTTAACCCAGCAATCCAATACTTCCTAGGTTGGGCCGCGTCACTTTGGGGCATGATCTGATAAGCTTATATCGGGCCATTCGTACCGAGGGCTTGGACCAGCGGAGCCTGCCACTCTCACGATGCACCGTGCATGTGAGCACGTGAGCTTAAAGTGTATGCTCGGGACAATGAGAGCGAGGCTCGGGTTTAGAGGATAGTCTCTTGTACTTTCAAAGGTATCCAAGATGGCAGGTGCAACATGTGATTTCCAATGGCTTTTTTAATAGAGCCAAAGTCGGGATTTCCAAACGGAGTGATTAGACTAGGTGTAATCCCGCTGATTAACTCAACAGCAGATAACCCATCTATGTCTCTGGGCTTCATCTTATCAAATGAGATTATGGATTTCAAAGATTCGATACACATATTTCTAATTCTCTGAGTTGTACTTGTAGAGATCTATCAGATATTCTAAGCAATGGAGGGAAGTGCTCTGATCAAGGGAATCGTGACTATGTCAAGACGCGAGTTATTTGTGGCAACGGCACTCTTGCTCCGGATCACACTCGACTTCAAAGCCGTAGTTATTGCAGAATTACTACTAGTGGTGCCTTCAGCATCTCAAGAGGATTCTATTGCATCATTATTTGTACTGTCATTCACCTGACACGGCACGATGAAAAACTTTTGTCAAGGATCGCCAATTTCAATTTAAGAACTACCTAATTAAACTCAATTTTCCCTTTTTTTTCCTCCAAGGTTTTTTATCATTATTGTCCATCTTTCTTTCTGTATTAAAAATCAAAAACTCAAAATCAAAACCTCAAAGTTCAATCAAAGTTTCAAAGCGTAACTCAGTCTCTTTTTTATCCAAACCTCAACCCGAAAACAATCCGTAACTTCCGTGATTTTTAACCCTTCCTTGTCCTCGATTCGCCTCAATACACCATTCAGAGCTGTTAACAAAAATTCAAGCTGTGTCTGGGATTGGATCCAGCTTTTTTGTTCTTCGCATCATCTGTTTCTTGACCCTCAATAAGGAGAACGTCTCGTTGGTCAGGTAGTGCTCCTGCGCATCCCAAAGATACGAGTCGCTGACTGCAAACGCCAGTTCCAACGATGGGCTGAGTCCAATATCAAGGAGCAGGTCTCTCATCTGTGCAGCGATGCCGCAGACATGATCTCCGTTCTCTTTGTCGGCTCTGTGGATTTTGAATGTTCCGCTCTCGGCCTCTGATTCGTATCCCAGCATCAGCCAGCAACTGCGTAGTCTGGGGAATGCAGACAGGAATTTTGGCAGTCCGACAAGCATAGACGGGGTAGTCAGTCGTGTTCCCAGCAGAATGATGTCCTGCGTCTGAGCCAGCACGAGGGCTTGATCTTCGACGCTGAGACCAAGCAGCTTCGTCGGTCCAAAATTGATATCGGGCTTGGATGGGCTTCTAGTGTAAGTCGCCTCACTAGGATCTTGCCTCCTGCGTACTTCCCTCCTGACACGTCTCGCAGCAAGATCTTCAATCGCGAATTCTCGATGGCGCACATACTCGGCGGCTCGCTTTTCGGGGGGGTAATCAAGAAAGCTCAGTCCTTGCTGGAGCCTCTCTCCTAGATTTGCCGACACCATGATGCGTTTCTCGGCGAAGAAGACGGGCTTGCCCAGTCGTCGGAAGCGCCGACAGGTGGAATTGACGATGAGCCAGTCGTTGATGTGCTTGACCTGGGAAGGACGCGCTGGGGGTGGGCATGGTGTGGTTTCGCTGCGCTCATCTATTGCGTCCTGGCCATCGGGCTTCGTCATTAGTTCCTCCAGGATGAGGTCTGGGAGATATTCCCATCCGGGGACCTTTTTGGTCATGTGGAAGCGCGGGATGTCAACGCAGTGCTCCAACCAGAGCGGCGCGTTTTCAACATTATCCTCTGCTGGGAGCGCCTGTTCCGGATTGGTGTCGCCTATTGCCACATCTCCGGTGAGAAGATCGCGCAAGATGTGGATGAGAATCTCATCCGGGATGCGGTCAATCATGCAAGTATCTGGGGGGGGACCCATCGCGACGTCGCTCGGCGGAGACATCTCGTGATGGCGATTGAGCCGTCTTCTTTTATTCATTCGTCCTGACTGTAGGTTCGTCTGATTCGATATGTCGCTGCAACCTCACTCGGGGACTATTCAGTGATGCCCAAGAGCAAAAGATGTTGAGCTTTTGGGGAGACACGGCTGGGTGCTCCGCCCCTCTTTCAACAATCAAGTGATCAATCACCGCTTGATTCTCGCTTACGAAGAGGCTGGGCGAATGCTGACTAAGTCCTGCATCGGATGTTTGCCTGTGTTATTCCGAGACACGGTAATGAATTCGTGCGACGGTTTCTGGGTAGCATCGGAAAGAGGACGAATATTAACGCAGGGAGGGGTCTGTTGGTGCTACGCGACTCGAAGCCGAATGGCTCGTACTGCTCCAATACCAAAGCGAGCTGTAAGATGTCATCTTTTCAATAGGTACCTAATACATAGAATCAACAGATAAAACGCAGGCCAGTTGAGATATCCAACTGCCTCTCCATCCGGCTAGCAGGCGCGTTGAAGAGGTATACAACGCGACAAAGGATGTATTTTCTATGTTTTAGCCAAGGATTGTCACGAAGATGTCACGAAGATGCCAGCCATTGTTTATTCGAAGGAACACGTATCAAGATAGACCGTTCTGCAGTCCAATGAGAGTTTAACATGTGATACCACCACTTCAAATCGTGCCATATAAACTTTTAAGAAAATGACCAAGTGGAGCATAAAATACCCCGGTTTTGACACTACAGGGGTGATATCTCGAGCTCAGCCTAGCCTCCTCAAACATGGGGTTTGGCCCACCATGTTGAGATATTTTCTTGGCAGTGACGATCGATCTTCGCGAGGGTTTTATTCATGGATTGCTGAATGAAGAAAGAAACATGCGTCTTATAAAAGGCGGCCTGTGGGATTTCATACGAGGGTATGTTACTCTCCCCCACATTACACTGCGTGACAGAATGTACATAGTCAAGATTTCCATCACAATAATGATGGCTCTCAACACACGGCTTACAACGAGATCAGTGTATACGCCGGTTTTTTGTTACCAACATTCATACATCCAAAGCGCGAGTAGATTTAAAAACAGGCATTTGTATGCGTTGTGCCTAAAGTTCTGTTACAGACGAAGGCATGCTTCGATATCTCGAGTATCCCTTGGGTCTACTGTAATCATCCCTACCAAATCCAATAGAAGCACGAAGATTTTAGGTTCTATAAGGAGCTGAACTCGCTGATAATGTCAAGTGACGGGCGGGGAATCAAGACATGGTATGTTTACCCCTATCCACTTCCAGCGTAACTATTACGCGTGAAGTTGCATTTCATGCATTTTTTTGGAACCAACCAAGGGCTGTCACTAAGCAATGTTGATACAAATAGCATGCTACCAGGTGCGGTTGGCCAACTGGTGACTTTAGTAAAACACGGGAATACCACCCTTACGGAGGGAAACGGATATTTAATGGAGCCAGGCCGAAAGTATTCAAGTATGAGCATTGCCTTAATTAGTGTCTGAAGACAAGGCCATTTATGGACAGTGTCGCGAATGTCCTCATCTCACTGGTACTCTACATGTTAACCTTGTTGACATTTTCCACAGATGGTGCAGTCAGGAAAATAGAAAACACTCTTCTCTCCCTCCATGGACAGGCGCTAAACGGCCTAAGCAGCGATACTACCTTGTTGGGTGAGCAGCTGGAGGTGGGATATGCATCAGAGCCCACACTTGGCATAGTGAGTGCCAATATGCACTCAGACGCGTGAGCTGACGCCTGGAGCATGATTATTTCCAAAGAGGCCAGCTGCAGAGCCCTTCGCCTGCGTCCCCTCGGTGTATCGTATTCATCTGATTGATTGGCAAACGGTGGTGACGGCATGTGTTCACTTCTGCTCATGTGACAGCCAGTCACAATTATTAACCCCCCATCCCGTCCTATCCCGTCCCATCCATCCCTCCATCCATCCTCGCATGATTCCCTGATTGACGTGTTAATGCCCATCCGTCGCTGCTACAGAGCCGTATCCCGCCCACCGAGTTGTTTCCATCTCCATCACGCCCGATGGCCTGACACGCGTCGCCATGGACGGCTTGTACATCGCAGCGGCAATTATTCACTTCATCGAATACGTTGGCCGTCTCATCGCCTCGAGCCAGTCTAGACACAGTCCACCGAATGGCCTTTCTCTGGAGCATCGTGAATTGGGCTCCATCGCCAAGGGTCTCCTGTCGAGCAGCCGCCAAATCGAAGAGTCGCTGCGATCCCAACACCGCGAACATACTCATACCAACATCGGCATCCTACAGCATCAAACCGCGAGTCATTGCCAAGGTATCGCAGAGGAGCTTCTAGATGCCATCGAACTTCTCCAGGCGGCGGGGCCCGGGACAAAATGGCGATCTTTTCGCCAGGCCCTCCGGGTTGTATTGAGCGACTCCAAGGTGCAGGCCTTGGATAGAGGCTTACGCTCCTTGCGTCACCAAACCATCTGTACTACGATTGATAGCCTGAGGTATATGACTGTTTTTAATACCTTTTCCTCGGTTTTGCTCGTCGCAGATTTCGCTAACATCTACCCAAAGACTTGAAGCCTCCAGGTTGAGCCGCGTCCAAGCTGCCATCCGTCACGCCTCCGAAGATGCGCCACCACCAGCTCCAGATCGCGGCGTCTCGGTGGGAGATCGGTTCATAAACGACAACAGGCTCGGGGACACCTGGCGAAGACTCATCGTGCGCTGCATACTCGAGAACCAACGAAACCCCAACGCGATGCTCCCTCCGTTCCTCGGCCTCAAGCCCAAGGGTACCTGGGCCCGTGCATACGAGGGCGGCGTCCGGGCAAGGGTCCTGCATCGACTGACGTTCCGAAACATGGAAGACCGCGAGAGGCAGATCCCCGATGCGGACGAGGGCACGTTTAGTTGGGTCTTCCGTGACCCGGTCATCAATGATAAGCCCTGGTCAAGCTTTAGAGACTTCCTGCGCTGGCCCACGAGCAAGATATACTGGATCACTGGCAAGCCGGGGTCTGGGAAATCCGCCCTGATGAAGCATATCCATCAAAGTCTAGAGACTCGAAATCTTCTCAGACATTGGAGTGGCGGCCGGAACTACCTCCAGGCGAGGTTTTACTTCTGCAACAGTGGAGAGAATATGCAGATGTCCATCGAAGGTCTACTGCAATCACTGTTGCTGGATTGCCTCATGCCGATCCCCTCGTCGATAATTCAGAGAGTTCTTCCAGCACGGTGGGAGGTCGCGTGCCTCTTTGACCAAGATGACTTCCCTTGGAGCGAGGAGGAGCTACTCAGCGCCCTAAAAACGCTTGTGATGGATGTCTATAAACATCAAAAGTTTTTCTTCTTGATCGACGGGCTCGACGAGTATTCTGGAGAGCAGCCACAGCTTATCGATCTCATCATGGAGCTGGCGGAGGAGACCAACAACCTCAAGCTCTGTATCTCAAGCCGGCGTTGGCCACACTTTCACGGCGCCTTCATGGGAAGGCCGCACCTGGTCCTAGAGGACCTTAGCGATGCCGATATTGATCACTACGTAGAGGCCAAGTTTGAGGAAAGCTCGGCGTTCTGCCAGCTCCGACAGAGAGAGCCGGAGAACTTTGAAAGACTCATGAGAGAGACTTCCCACAAGGCAGATGGTTGCTTCCTATGGGCCCAGTTGGCCGTGCAATATCTCACCGATGCCCTGTCAAACGGAGATAGGATCGGCGATCTCGATAATCGGCTTGGTGAACTGTTCCCAGGAGACATCGAGAGAATCGTGGAAAAGATTATTGCCTCGCTGGATGAAGATGAGCGAGATGATGCATCTCGGATTTTCCAGATCGTTCGATCCTGTGACGACTTCGCTACCGTTCTGTGCGTCGCCCTAGCAGATCTCGAGGACATCAATCTAGCCAAAATGACGTCTGCGAAAGTGATGCCTGTCCAATATAAAGAGTCATTGTCCAGGATAATGAGGAGAACACTGATCAACAGATGTCAAGGCTTGCTTGATATTGCCGCACCAAACGAGGACGAAGACGACAGCGATGAAAGCGATGAGGAATCTGAGGAGGAAAGCGGGAATGAATCTGATGATGAAGCCGACGAGGAAGAAACAAGTGACGCATCCTCAAAACAAAACACCATCACCAATTTCATATCCCATCTGGAGATAAAATATGTCCATCGTGTCGTCAAAGACTACATTGAGAGTCCACACATTTGGGACTGGATTGTCAGCATGAGCTCTGTCCGCTTCGATCCAAATTTGTCGCTCTGCAAAGCAAACATTCTTCAATTCAAGGGACTTGACCCTTTGTCACTCTCAATGTCTGAGTTCTGGTTCCACGCTGAAATGGCGATCAAATACGCCGTTCGGTGTATGGACGTAGAAGGTAACGTCAGGGAAGTGATTGAACTGTTGGACGAGGTGGACTCAACTGGAAGCGCTCTGACATACCACTATACGAACCCAACATTCATCGACCGACCTGGCTCCCTTGGAGAAGACGACCATTGGGCCACCTTCTTTCTTCCCAGCATCTCGCACCCCAACTTTAACCATTTGATGGTGGCGTGTGGAGTGCACCAATATCTTACCCGGCGTCTGCGCAAGGAGGATGTACGAAACGAGAGACTCGCCGGGGAACCGACCCCATTACTGATCACGGCGGTGCAAGAATTCGCATGTCTTTCCAACTGCGATGAGTTGGCTGGCCCTCATGCACGAGTTGTGGAAGCTCTCATGAGGAAAGGGGCCGATTGTCTCCAGGTCCATCACGGCCGTTCAGCCTTCAGCTTGGTGCAGAGAGCGAGAAAGGTTGGGAAACACAAACCCGTTTACGAAGAGATCTTAAGAGTCTTCGAGCGATATTCCAGGCGGCCGCTGCCTATACCAGTCAATTTGGACTCTTCAATGGCTCTTGCGCGGCGTGCCTCCCAACCAACCCCTTATCGAGAGGCCGACAATGATTCCATCCGATCAACTGATGGTCTTTGCGAAGGCAACAATGGACGAGAAGAACCCAGGCAAGGCAAACTTCCTTCCAAGGAATACAGAACTGTACACATTGAGGGTAAGAATATCAAAATGCGAGACGGAAATGACAGGTCCGAACTGGGTGTACAACACCGTTCTTCAAGCAACCGATCGAATTATTCTCATTCTCTGTTCTCTAGAGGAGGAGAAACAAGTCGCGTTGGAAGTAGGATGGGTCAGCTCTCGAGCTTTCATACACCAAGATCGCTACTTTCTTGGGACCAACAGCAGTCGTCTGGCTCGCAACTTATCACACAGAATCAACAAAACTACCCGACAAGCAACCCTTTTTCCCGCGATTTGGTTCGAGCATCTCAGGCAGCTGCCCCCAGGCAACGAAGTTTCAACCCATCACGTTTTTTCAGTAATCCATTCTCTTCGCGACAGGGTAATGCCTACTGAACCCGCCAAAGTCGCGCGTCAAGAGAGAATCGCAATGCTCACCCCCAACAGAATGATAGGCTCATACCTATTACATCTTCTCCTTTATGAGTTCTACGATACGCTCACCAAGCCATATAGCAACAAATCACATTCATCCCCACCTCCTTGGACGTATCTTGCGAGTGGAACTCAGCAATCTCATATAATTCACATTTAGCGTGTTTGATTAATGTTATGACGGTTTTATGAGGAACGTTTTTATGCAATTTTACGACGGCTTGGGTAACGAAATTATGTATTGATCAGTGGCTAGGAGTGTAGGATATGAGGATGGTTTGGGTCGAAGGACAAAATCTGGGGTGTAAGGCTTTTCAGTCAAGGTAATTTTTGGTTCTTCCATGATGATTTCTTCATAACGATTACATTCTCACCGCGTACCTTGAGTTGGTTCTCAACCTATACCTGCCCGGTTTGCCGATAAGTTTCCACAGGGCAAGAGAGGGCATAGAGATATGCAGCACAGGTTTCTCTTTGTTGATTTTGATGGGTGGTGTGAAGGGTCAAGGCATTGTCCCGGTCAGATTGTTCGTAAAGGGTATTTTCGAGTGTAGCATCATCAGTCATAACAATGAAAACTGGAATTCCAACTTCATGTCTATGTCGGGGCCACCTCATGCTCGTCAGAACGCGTCATGCTGAAGGAGGTATCAATCATATACTGATTGCTATCAATGGTATCATATTACCTGAGATTAAAAATTAATTTTATGCAGTTTTTATAAGCTTTTGGGATTATACATATATCAAGTGAGAGTCTTTCAGAGATCCTTTCTACCCACTGACTTATTGAAGTACTGAGATACCCGAAAGTAACTGGGATCTTGTCATTTGACTCACTACATTACGACCCTTTTCATATTCAAACATTTCGTTCGTTCCTCACTCCAGCCTCGTGATTAGAATCCCCAACTAGTTGCAGTCTTCATTCTTCTCTCAACCACAGATTAATCCTTCTTCCGCCCTGTCACTCCGGGTTCAATCTTTCTCTGGCAAAATCATCAAGCCATGTTCAATGCATCCGAGATCAGCTATCATGGGCCTCGGAGAAAGGAAGTAGCTCCTAGACCTCCTCCTCATACAGGCGATGTTGCATCTCAAGTCGAAGTGCTTCAAACTGTCCTTGGCATGCTTGGACCTCCTCTTGGGTGAACCAGACGCTTACCATCTTTCTAGCAAGCTCTTCGCTTCGAACGACGACTGGAGTAGAAATGCCATGTTCGAACAGTAGGCACATTCTGCCTACTCCAGATCGAATTACCAGAGCTTCGATCGACTTGGCGATAGTTTCTTTGGATCGAATTATGAGGTTGCGTTGCTGGTCGAGGTCTAAGCCCATCAACTGATCGGCAGTCTGGCCGGATTCTTGAAGATAGTTCGTGATGCTTTGTGCGACCTCTTCACAGATCAAGCGACGAATGTCGCAGGCTGATCGGGGCGCTGAGTTGATGGCGTGCCCTTGCATCAAACTCGTCGTGAATGCTCGGGCGGCCCCGAGGTCCAACACGTAACGGACGGTGCCTCTGTACTCCTTAAACTCTTCCCAGGTATACAGTTTCTCTTCCCAGCCGTACTGGGCTCCGGTGAGGTCTATGACGAACTCTTCGCCGCTATGAAGCCTTGTATAAAGTACCGCGTGATCGACTTCGACAATCTCGTTGTTATCGACAGCTTTAATCGCGGGATGTTTCGGGCAAACGCTAATCTCCCTCAAACTGTGACAAATGGCTGCAAGCCAATGTTAGTTTTCTGCATACTCTCACGTTTTGGCAAAGGATGGGTTGACTTACGCTCAAGGAGAGCCTTGATGAGGGGCAAGCCAGTGCTAAGGCTATCAACGCACATGTTGTGGTACAAGACAGCTTGTTCTGCCGCGAGTCCTGCATCCTGAGTCATGATATCTTCAGGGAACTGTTGGAAGATAGGGTGGCCCATAAGGGCAGACGTCGCAGCGAGTTCCTTCTGCCGTGACAGATAGATCGTGCTCCCCTCGACCCTGTCAAGTCGATACCTGTTCGTGAAAGTTTGGCGACAGAAGTTATCCCAAACTTCTGACAGAACCACGACGGCTCTTCCGAGCCTCTTACGATAATTACAAATAATCTCATGGTTGAGTCGGTCGTCGGAGCGACACTGCTCAGAACAATACCATGTTCGGATATGCCCTACATCCTCGATCTCGCATTCTGGGCATGTGATGGAGCCTCCCGGTTCGGCGCAGTTCGAGCAAATCATCTTGGAATCGGTGGGTGGATGTGTAGTAATCGTTCGAGACAAGAATCCAAACTCGGCGTTGGGGCAAAGCTGGAAAATGAGAAGTAGGGAAAGTTGACAGGAAATCGGAAGTTGAGAACCAGTCTGAAGGTTGAGGATGAAGCTGAAAGCTGGGGATGAAGCTGAAAGCTGGGGATGAAGCTGAAAGCTGGGGATGAACCTGCAGGGTGAGATGGAGTGAGGATGAAGCGATCAGAGAAGTAGTGAGGAGGAAGCGATCAGAGGAGTAGGCAAAGAAGTCAACTAAGGGACGGAGTGAGGAGACGCGTCACTATGTCAACAGTTAACGGCAGTGACACTGGTCCGTTCCCCTGCTGTTTCCAACAACTTAACTACAGGTTGCTATATCAGAGCCCGGCGGTACCTAGGTACCGCAACTGTTAAAGGTTCCGCGACCCAACTCCAGCAAACCCATACGGAGAACAAATATGTTGCACTTGTTCATTTTCTATGTAATCAATACGGACTTCAAAAGGCTCCTGTTGCTCTCAAGGACGTGACGACACAAGTATTCAGAGCCAAGTTCTGTCTGAAGATGTTAAAGTAGAGTGCTCAACCCGATGCACAGGATAGATTTTGAGCTTGAAAATTTAAATTTAGCTTCTTTCCTTGTTCAACTACAACCGCTATTTTTCTTCCTCTCTTGTCGGACTTTCCAAATACTTCGTTGATTCTGCATGCCCAGTCTGTCTTGCATCCGATCTCAGTTATACCTTTCAGTGACTAAATCAACTTCCCCTGGCGATGTGGGAAACAGCCCAAGAATTTCGGCACTCTTTCCGTGCTCTTATCTGTTCGGGTTTTCCAAAGAATCTCAGTGCCCGAACAAAGGTTCTGTGGGATGGCCGCGAGCGAGCAGTGTTCCACAATGCTCCTTTTACATTTGGCAGCACAGAGTAGGTATGCCCAGTAACTAACCCGCTGTAAGTTGGCATCCATACAATGAGTGGACCGAACAAGAATTGCCGTAGAATGCTCTGGCTCTCAATCACGAGTAGCGCGGGGGGACTCAATATTTTTCCAGTGCATCTACGTATCAACATATATATTCCCTTCTTTATTTCTACTTTTCTAAGGAACGAACAAAGTAACTTGTGCTAACAGGTCGTGAATGAACTCGGTCGTACGGACTAGCCGTGTTCCGTGTAACCTGCCGGAATGCATGTAAGCAGCTGCGGCAAACAACTAAACAAGTTCCATTGTCTGAATCAAGCTTAGCTTGCACTTGTGTGCACTCTTGGAAACCTTCTAGTACCAATACGACCCATGTACCGCTCCAGAAATATGCAAGTCTTGTGCCCGTGACCGTGATCCTGGCTGTCACATGAAATAATAGCAGCATATTCCAGCAAAATGGTGGATAAATAAAACAATCATCATCTCCATCTCGCGCCCGAGCTCGAAAATCATTTTGTCTTTTGATCTGATTTTCCAGCGTTTGTGTCTTTTTTCCATTTCGTCTATTCGCGACTCAGAAGCCTGTGGCCAATTCCAGACGATTTCGGAGCAGCAATGGACCAAGCTTCTTCAATTCTACACAGCCGCTTCAATTGAGATGCAAGACGCGATGCAGAGACGACCCGAAGGGCTGATGAGTGCCCTCCTTCACCATAGCGCTGACTTGCAGTCCCCAGCCGTATCGCAAGCAAATGCCTTTGCCGCCTCATTTCCGCAGACCCCGTCAAACCAAACCTCGCGAGCTCCCTCACCGTTGCAACAGGGATCTCAATTGAGGCCAGAAGCCGCCCATGAACTGGACGAAAATCTAGCCCAGTCCCTAGCTTATGTATCGGGGAACATTCTAGGCGACATTGGAGATCCCGATCCCCTAACATATCGCCCATCCCAGATGCTGGGCCATCCCTCGTTTTCCGACTCGATGATCTTCTCCGCTCTTCCGCCGACGAGCTCGATGCAATTCCCCGACCAGAGTTTCCGTGGGCAGAGTGCCGCACCAGCTGGTGATAGTATCACTCAAGCTCGGGAGGACAATATCAACACATCACCATCGGTGTCTTTTAAGCACGCAAAGATAAGCCATGGTGATTCTCCCGGTGTCCCCAAATCTCAGCGCTACGCTTGTCCCTACAACAAATGGGATCCAGAAGGATGTCCTCTTTGTTGTATGCCGAGTAATAAGAATCCGGGAGGAGGGGCAGAAACCTTCTCAAGAGTCAAGTGAGCTTCCCAATTGTCAAGGTAGTCTAATCCCAGATCGTACTAACTCTTGGGAAGATCGCACATTCTCCGTAATCACGATGAATCGGTTCGTTGTCGGCGGTGCTGGTCCTCGTTTGTAGGCAAGCCCGAAGCATTAAAAGAGCACGCCAAATCCGGCGATTGCATCTATAAAGCCCGTCCGAAAGGATATTGGATGAATGAGTATCAGACGAACTATGTCCGTGGCCAACGCTTCGAGGGAGGGGGCGAGGAGAAATGGTATCATCTGTTTACGGTTCTCCTACCGCACGTAAAGATCTGCGATGATCAAGGGAACCATTTAATAAGCCCTTGTAGGTCGACTCAAGCGCACAATATGGAACAAAACTCGAGCTGTCAACTAATACGTTCTTTGTAGATTATACACCATTGTCCGAACGAGGTAGCGAGCAGGCCGTCTTAGCCGCCTTACAAGCAGATAGCAAGCAGTCTGACTTTCAACCCTCGACATGGCCATCTGCAGGGCAAACTTCCACAATGGGTTCTCTGTATGCTAAGACAATCACCCATGCTCAATTCAAGAATGATTCTCCCTAACAGCCAACTAGTTGTGTCCAGTATGAAAATGCATCGCTGCGATCCTCGTCCTGTGCTTCTCCAATAGTGCTCGAGGATGTTTTCTCTGCAAATGCCAGCTTCCCTTCTCTGGAATCATCCACACATAACGGTCCCAGTATGGTATTGAGTCCCGATCCCGGACCTATGCCGTCTTTTCTTTCGACCTCTGCCCCTCGACCGATACCGATCCGGGGCTCTCATCGAATCGATGGTGGCCTAGACGAGGCCTTTGACTCCTTCAACACCATCAAAGCACCCGCCTCTATGCCACACCTCCATTCAAAGCGATTTTCCAACAACTTCCTAAGCTATGATAATGAGAGGTTGCGTCGTGATAATCGGCAGCTGCGCCAAGAGAGAAATGATCTCCAGAGGCGAATCGATGCTGTGCGCGCAAACATTGATCCGCTAAACCAGATGATCGAAGCTGCGCTTTATCAAAATGGGATTCCCTTAGAGGTTTCGACGAAATTGTTTGCTGCAACAGAAACGTTGAATAATCTTAGACAGGCTCTGGGTTGAGTAGCTGACCAAAGCTCGCCAAAACCTATGGGCGAAACTAGTCTTATATATATTATTCTAGCCAGAGTCGATGCACGTGGGAGCCGAGAAACGGCCCATCTATTCGATTTTTGACACGGTAGAAGGAATGCTGCAACGAGAGGACCGCGATGAGAAGGGCATCCAAGTTCTAATGATGATGATGAATATCAATGAATGATTGAACGATTGAACGAAGAAGCCATCATTCAGGTGAGTTTAACACTAGAGCGGAGACAATGTGTGGGCTTGTTTTCGTTGGCATAATATCAGGTTGTCCTGATCCATCGGGGCAGAGTTTCAATTTCTCAAATATGGCTCGGTACACATAGCATCAATTCTGTTCCCCAAGTAGTTACACCCTTCTTCAGTAGTAGGCTTAAGCAGATGCATCAATCGAGGAGTAACGTCGTATAATACCTTGTTTCAGCGAGGACCGTGACGTGGCAGGAGTATAAGGAGGGCGGATAGAGAGAAGTTGCTTTGTCTACGCAAAGCGAGTTCGTGTTTATCCTCGAAGGGTCTACTTAGTATTATGATCAGCAAGCTTTAATTATATCCCAGGGTGCTCAACTACCGATGTTAATAATAACTATCGCGTGCCGATTTCTCCACCCCATCAACGCATCAACAAGATGCGGAATAGGGGAGATTATGCAAGTGACGTTTCATCTAAATGATGATCCGGGACGCTGAAAACCTTATCTCTTGATCAATATGTACTATCCTTCCCCCGTTAACGCAGACCACAGTCCATAAACCCATGAAACGAGGGAAATTATTGCTGCTGATTCTCCTTTTTATCAGTAAATTTCCATCGTTTCTGAAACACGGGACCCCATGTACTCCACTGCCGGTTACCAACCAAGCAGCTGGACAATGGGTACTAGCATGCAGGCGCCTGTCCTTGCTCATGAAACACGCATTGTGGCGAATAAGCATACACACAGCCAACGATCGAATCACAACGGGTGTTCCGGGATATGATGTTTCTGAATTGCATGCTGTCCATGCGTGACGGAGTATCAGCTCCTGATTCTTGTATAAGTCGCTGAGTGATCGCCCTTTGGTGTGGCTTCGAAATTCTCTACTTCTTCCTTATGCAACAACCCGTGTTGTCGCTTATTGTCGACCCTTCTCTTCTCAACACTCATTCCATTTTGCACAGATTTACCTTCCAAAAATGCGCAGTTCACTCATTTCTGCTTTTGTCCTCGGGTCACTTGCCGCCCAGGCGGCTGGCAAACGTTCCAGGGGGTCTTTGTGCAGGTCACTGGTTACTGTCACGGAAACCGTCACGGTAACTGGGCTTCCCCCGCAAACAACAAGCACTGTTCCCAGCTCAGCAACTTCTCTCTCTGTGGCACCAACCTCTCTATCGCAACCACAGGCTCAGTCTAGCTCGACCACCAATGTGCAGACTGAGGAGCCAAAGCCCACAACGACACTCGTTGAGCAATCCTCCTCGTCCTCTGTAGCTTCCTCATCTGCAGAGTCAATTGCGGTATCATCCTCCTCGTCTTCGATCGCCAGCCAAGTCCCTGCGTCCTCTGCGTCAAGCGCCAACCCAGTCGCAAGCCAGACTTCGGCAGCCCCGTATGCCAGCGCCACGGAGGTCGACGTCAAGGTCCCTGCCACGGAACAATGCGGTATCGACGATCGGCTGCACTTCACCAGCATGCCATGGAGCCTTTCCAATAACATGTACAACTCGGAGAGTATGGTGGGCACACAGTGCACCAACTTCGTCCGAGCGCTCGAGGCATCTGATGGAACGAACCTCGTTGAGTGGACCAGTACCACAGATGTTCAAAAGATCGAGGACACGGCCAACATCTGCAAGGGATACTCCAACTTTGGCGATGGACCCGACGACAAGGCCCGTCTTCGTGATATCAAGTCCATCCCTGCATACTTCAAGTGGTCTAGGTCTGTTGAGGAGGACTTCAAAGGTAGGCTCTCTTCTTTTATACACCACTTACTCTTCTTACTCTACCCCCATGATAGATTTCTATAATAACTAACGAATGTCATTCAGGTGCTCATATCTTCGACATGATGACATCTGTCGAGAAAGATGTAGGTGAACAACCCAACACCAAAGAGTTCATGCTATTCCTCAAGATCTGGGGTGACCAACGGGCAATGGGTTGGAATGACGGCGCGATTGACACCTTGGAATTGTTCGGTCACACTTTCAAGCTCTACTATGGTGTTCACTCCACTTCAGGGCAGCAGGTGTTCAGTCTGGAGCCAAACACTCCTTTTGAAGGCGAGTTTGAAGGCGACCTGAAGGAGTGGCTCCAGTTGATGGTGGAGAAGGGCCATGTGACGGATGACGAGTACCTGAACCACTGGACTGGTGGTGTTGAGATCTTCTATGGCAAGTCGACTCTGAATGCTACTAGCAATTTGAGCCTTGTTGTGTAAAGAGACTGCCGTGTTGGCCTGCGTTCGAGGAAAAGTGAATATCGAACCACACATAGATCCGACAGTTGGAAATTATGAACACATTCCCTTGAGCAGTGAAATCGCTGGGCCAAAATATGTGGTGAGAACTTCCAATTGGTGACGAAACTCCTTTGATCAGTTTTCTATGAAGTAATGCTCCCGATAAGCGGATGGATATTGTACACAAGATAAGTTATACTGCAAACGCCAGCTCTTTGTATCAAATCAAGCAAGAACGCGCTGACAGTGGGCAATTATTCACTGCACTCCCTAAAATAGCCAAGCTAACAATGCAATCAAGTCCTCTGGCTTCTCGTGGCCCCAAGGGCTCATTAGCCTTTTCCTATTAAGCTGCACTTGGTTGGTTCATATTACCCCATACCCGACGGGCCATGTTCATGATTACTTCTTCTCTTATCCAGAGAAGAAGAAACCAAAATACAGGCCAAGTTATATATGACAACACCCGTTTCTTGGTGCATCATCTCATTGTTGTATTACGCGTCCCAACGGGCATTGGGGTCCCCCTAGCAAGAAGTGAACCATGCAATTAAACCCCAACCGCCCAGCCAACTCATGCCATAATACTTATCTATGTCTGGTGCTCAACTCGAAGGAATGAATGGACGGATTCGACGTTGACCAGCAACTTGAGGCGACTTTCGTAAAATCATATCGGTCGTTGAAATGTAGTATTTGGATTTTTGTTCTTTTCAGGTATTATCTCGGGACTTGTTCTTCTTCGGTACCGGCATCTCGTCGAGATCGTCGTCGAGCGATTCGAACTGCTGTAACTGTTGCATGTGTTCCATCTCTATCGCGGGAACCTCGTTGGCCGGCTTCTCGTACACAGGTTGAAGAACAGGAGAGCCTGCCATTTCGTGGATGTTATTGCTGTCGATCTCCGCGTGTTGTCGGCCGATGCTGAACTTGTCCTTTGGCGGTAACGGCGGCGGGATGTCTTTGAAATAAGCGACGCCGGGCGATCCCAGCATCTCGTTGATATTTCGACCGTCAATCTCCGAATACCGCGTGTGTATCGTGGAAACCTCGTTGTCCATCGCCGACTCGGTCACGCTCTCTGCCACTGATCGGAGGACCGGCGACCCAACCATCTCGTGGATATTAACGCTGTCGATCTCCGAGTATCGCCTGTTGAGCGAGGGCGGCGGCGAGCTCTTTACCGAATAATGCTTCGTCGAGGGAGGGTGTAGGCTCTGGGCGTCCACGTCGCTCATAATCTCGGACTTGGCTTGCTCGGACATAGCCTTGGTCGAAATTGCCCTGCGCGACGTCCCAGATCTTACTGATCTTGCAGCTTCAGACCTGGGGGGCTTGTGAGATACTGCGACTTCCGATCCCGTGTCTTCTTCCAGCTCGTTGCGATGCTTTCGTCTCCAGAAGAACCACACGACACCCAGAATGATGCCGACACCGACGAGCGCACCGAACACGGGGCCGGCAATCCATGCTTCTGTAAAGGGTACCCATTAGCTTACCATGCCATCGCCGACTGCTTGGTCCTGATTCCACTCACTGCTTTTAGGCTCGTCGCTCGACGTGTCCACGGTATCGAAATTGTCGACGGAGCTGGTAACGGTCGCCGCCACCGTGGGCGCATATTTTACATTAACTATTGTCGATGTGGTGCCATCCCCCATGCGCAACGAGCTCGTAACCAGGTCGACGTCGATATTACAGTAGGCGAGGTATGTCAATAAATCTGACGGAACGGCACCGGGCGATCGCTTCTCGATACATCGGGAGCAGGGGATATAGGCATTCTGGAATTTCGAATCGGCGCCGCAGAGGTCGGTTTTGGTCGAGTTTTGGGCGACTTCGAAGGCCGTGTCTGGAGGCGGTAAGATCAGCACAATTTTTCCACCATTTTGTCGGAACTACCCGCTAGGTTTATTTACTCACCACACGACTTGGTGCAGGCCGAGCTTATCGTAATACCATCTCGAAGCCAGACTGGTGGTGCCGCTGCTCCAGCCGGCATCATGACGAACGGCCAGGAAAGGGACTGGCGAAAGGATAGACTGTCAGGACGGAGGAACGAGCAACCAAACGGGGAGACCCTCTAGGCGGGTGCGTAGGTGGCGTGAGTGGGCTCTGGATTGGTTTTATTGCCTGGCCATTGCTGTACAACGCTGCGGAGAGGCGAGCAATTAAAGGGGCTAATTGGATCGTCGTGCGTCTTTAGTGCTGGCAAGCCGCCGGTGCGCTGCTGACGGACGCGCCATTTCAGCAATAAGTATTCCCTCCATGTAACCTCATAATGGCACCAAATATGTCCCGATTCGGGCAATGACAGCAAAAGACCTGTGCCTGGTGCCGGGGGTTTCAGGTCGCTGCCGCTTGCTTACATCTGGCGCCCATCTCCCCAGCACGAAAAGTCCGAGGTGATGAGCGTCTGAATGACTTCAGTTCACCTCCATTGAGGATTCCAGAGGACCATTTCATCAATAACTGATCGTCATCCAGCTTGGACCCCGACTTCTCATCCAGAGGGCTCCCACCTAGGGCTGGGTCTGCTGGTGGAGAGGACATGGTTCGCCTGCCAAGTGCCAAGGTCCGGCCACCATAGTTTCCGGTGAGCCAAATGAGAGACCCCACGGCCAGTCCAAAATCTGACAGTGCCACTGGACAAAGACGGCCTGTTCTGCTGCTTCGCCGCCAGCGCGCGCGCTCTGTGCCTGTGGAATGCGAGCCGTATGCCACCTGCCGATACGGGACATTACTATGGTCAAAACAAGATACCCTCGGCTTCTTCTTTGTCGTGATGCGTCTTAATTCATCCAACACCTCGTCAAACTTTGTTGGTGACAACTACCTACTCTGTTGGTGATTCAGTGCTAGCCCTGCATACAACACACAGCCAACAGTGGGAAAATGCCGCTAATAATAATAAGTTACAAGCGATCGTTTGGCAAAAGCCCATGACAAACACTTCATGCCGTTTAGTGCCTTTCACCATGTGTCCAGCGCAGAGAATCTCAGACGGTGCCTGATCAGTGATTCATCACATGGCCTAGTCGGACATCGCCCCGGAAGCCATTCGCCCTAGTGGGAAAGCCACACTTCAAATGCGGGGCCCCTTCTCAGGCAATCTGGAATCTGGTTACGAAACTCACTAGACGATCCTAAGGCTGGTCTAGACTCGTCGCCCTGGAGCTCTCTGTGCTTTTGCTGGCGATTCATAACAATTATCCAATACGTGTTAGGCCAAGGTTGAAATAGAGACGGGACTTGTGTGTGCCTTAACTAAAGCTCATTGTTGACGTGACCTAACAACGTGTGAGAAATACAAGTGACATACCTACCTCGTGAACGGACTTGCGATAGCATGTATGCAAGGACGAGAGCCACCATGCATTATTGTCGCTGCAGCCGGCGAGGCGCAGCCCAGGTTTTACCAGGTACTGCCCATGAAATTGACGGATATCCTTCACTATCATCTTTAGGAAGTGTAGCACGTGCGCTGTGTGTCTGCGTATCGCGTATCAAAGTTCATGTTGGTAGCTACAGGGTAGGTGGAATCGCGCTTTGTGACGGCGCAACGAGCAATTACCGGAGTATGAAGAATGATTATCCGAACACGCAATGGTCGTGTCACGTGTTGGACTCAGAATCCCGTCGCTCATCGCTTGGGATAAGCGATGTTCGTAAGAAATTCCAAAATAGTACAGTTATCATGTTGAAGAATTTGTAAGTGAATTGAGCTACTCGTGATGCAAGGTGGTAGTTGATCCTACCTGTACCTACTCAGTCGTTCGCTTCAGCAGCATTTGGCGGATTGACGTGCTACGAAAGAGAGGCGAGATCTCACCAGGGGCAGTGCGCTGTGGAATCCAGGCCAAGAAATCCAATTCCTTCCGTCGCTCGGCCTGGTGTAGCCAGGCATTCAGCATCCATCATGTACCAAGGAGTAGTGCAGATCTCGCTTGGGAGGAATCTAAGGAATTTGCCTTGTTGATGTTCTTAGTAATCTGAGACTCCGTTTGCACTTGGACTTGCGGACGGTGACTCTCCGAAGATGCGATTGTTTGGATTGCTCAAGGAACACAAGTGCAGTATTGACATCGGAAATATGGTAATGATGACGACAGAGTATGTATCATGTATATTAATCTTTGCTACTGAACCTTAAGGTAGGTAGAGTAGCATTGAAATGTTCAGTACGTATTCCATCTTTTATTATACATGTATCCAATCGTCTTTGACACAGGGCCCAATTCAAAACTAGAGAAAGAATAAATATAAAGAGAAACTAAGTTTCATTTGAAGTGAATCATACAAGAGTATTAAATCAGAAGATATAGAAACGTATCTCTTCCCATCTTCATGAAGAATGCCTCGTTGATGATAATCGCTAATGAGGGTCCAGGGTAGGCGATAATCCGCAAAAGTGTTGGAGGAAATGAGACCAAGATTCTATATTTAGATCGATCAACGGACACTCCATCACAGAAGGACGCTACACAGTACGTACATTACCCGTTCGTTGGTGGATGAATGGCAGAAAATAACCTGTTATTTTGATCAGATTAACCAACAGGTTTGTTTGTCTAGAACTTGGTCCACGGACGGGCATTTCCTGGCGTGGTTAGTGATTCTGCTGATTGTTCTAAAAATGAACAGCCGACTGAGCAGCCCGGGCTATGTCAGCATTTCCCCACTGAGCGCAGCATGAACAGCTGCTAAAAAAACATACCAAAGCGGATCTTAATAAGCTGTTCCCGGTACAGAGGGCCTGTGCTGAAAGCGTTGTTGGGACCAGAAGTTGCTCCTTGGTCGCCACCCCCGTCACAGGCAGAGAAAAGATCCTGCTTGTTGGCTCACGTCCCTGACTAGTTACCTACTACGCCAGGGTAGCGACCTATTTGGAGCATGCCTCGCGGCTGATGACTGCCGAATGCCCACAGTGTGTCCGTCTTCGCCTTGAGTGCCCCTCAGCTCGCTGAGATTGAGGCCCCGTTTAGGAGCGGCACCCATGGCAAAGTCAACAGATCGACTAACTTCCGTGGTACATGCCTAGTGTATGGGCAGCTCGGTGCTTGTGTTGGGTAGCCTGTAGGTAATTTCGTCTCCTCGGGACATGGCAAGCATCGCCAACAGGTGGATTGCCTTCATGCCATCCCTTGCCACCACTCTGCTGATCGCGTCGTTTTGCTGTCGTGTGCCTTCTCCACAGCCTCGACTACTTCCCGCGACCCAGGGCTGGTCACTCTCCATCTCGAGATATATAAACTGCTCTCCCGCTGCCTCCAAACCGAGATGAAGCATCCAGCATTCAACCACCCACCTCACCCATAACAGCACCATCTTCACATCTAGAGCCGGTCTCTACGATACTTTCACTTCAATTTTCCCTTTTTTAATCAATTTACAATATTGCCGGTCAATATCAACTTTTTTACCACCTTCAATTCTTAATTTAATCAACCTTTTTTTCAACCCCTTTAAATCAATCAAAATGGTCTGCTCCCAGAAGATTACTCTTTCTGTCGCTGCCGCCGTCCTTCTCGGCGTGGCTGACCATGCAATTGCTGCCCCCCTTCCCCGTATGGACGTTGCTCCACGAGCGGAAGGCAGCATTGGTGCTGCTTATGAGGCGCCCCTCGTCCAAAGAGAGGTGGAGGCCCTGGATGAACGTAACGTCGAGGAAGTCGAGGTCCGCGATGTCGACGAGCGCGATGTCGAGGAGGTCGAGGTCCGAGATGTTGAGGAACTCGTGGAGCGTGACGAGGACCTGGAGGAGCGCGAGTTCGAAGAGCTCCTCGCCCGCGACTTCGATGAACTGATCGAGGAGCGTGAGTTTGACGACGAGCTCTACGTGCGCCAGTTTGGTGACGAGCTTGAGGAGCGTGAGTTCGACGACGAGCTTTACGTGCGCCAGTTTGGTGACGAGCTTGAGGAGCGTGAGTTCGACGACGAGCTCTATGTGCGCCAGTTTGGCGATGAGCTCGAGGAACGCGAATTCGATGACGAGCTCTTTGTGCGAGAGTTTGGTGACGAGCTCTTCGACGAGCGGGATGTTGAGGATCTGGAGGAGCGAGAGTTCGAGGAAGCTCTTGAGGAGCGTGACATCGACGAGCTCCTTGAGCGCGACCTCGAGCTGCTCGAGCGGGATGTTGAGGATATCTATGAGCGTGACGCTGCCGAGCTCAGCGAGCGCGACATCGACGACATGTACGAGCGCGATCTTCTGCTCGACGACGATGTCTACGAGCTCGTCCTGCGCGACCTCGCCGATGAGATTGATGAGCGTGACGTCGCTGACGAGATCTACGAGCGTTACGACCTCGCTGACCTGGAGGGCCGTGACCTGCAGGATATGGAGGAGCGTGACCTCGACGCCGTTTCTGACTGGATTGACTTTGCTATCAAGCGTGGTCTGGACATTGACTACGAGTAAATTCAATATTTGGCAATTTGGCAAAGTTGTATAGAAAGGCGCCTGGGATGATTATGGCTCATCAATTTTAATTCATAGATATATACCCAAACTTCTTAAAAACCCAGAAAATCAATAAATTCAAATACTCCTCATCTACACTAGGTGTCCGAAATACCTTGTGACATGCATCGTTAAAAATCCATTTGATGGGCAGCAAGCTACTCACATTGCTATCTGCACTGGGACAGAACTGTAAGATTGTCCAGCTTAGGGAATGATGTCTCATTCGTATCAAATTGACACAGTTCCTTCGTTATCGGCTCCGGAGAACAACAATGGTCTCACCATCTGCCGAGGGGATTCGGATGTGCATGTAGCCTGTCGCTTCACGTGGCAGCCCTTGTAACCCCCATGGCTAAGTCAACTGGCGAAACAAGCCCTTGTTAATGAGCTACACTGAATGGCCATGGTTCTAGCACACTGAGCTCTGTATGTATTTTCACGAGTGCAGGACGGTCGGAATAGTGGCTGGGAGGTGTCGGCACTAATTGCCAGATTTGTGGTAATGATGGCATGTTCCCACTAGTGAATGCAGATGCAACATTCCGCATGGTTTTGCAAACTGGGTGAGGGGTTTGCTTCTGGAACACCCTGGGAATGGCGGTATGAGCTTGAGAGACGGGGATTCAATCTGCCGATAGCCATGGGAGAGATGACATGGGCGAGAGACAGGATCTCGCTAAGCTTCACGGATATTGTCATTCGACGGACGCTCCGGTTACACCTTTTGATCGACGATGGGTGAGCATCAAGTGAGCAGACGCTGCTTTAGTGGTGGAGTTTGGCCAAAAGCCCCGTCATCAATATGCACGACTGAACCAACTGGGAACATTCCCCAACAGATGTCTCGCTGCTAAGATGGACATCTGACGGTGACCGAAACCTTGATTGCTGCTGACCGCGTCATGCCCCGATGCATTGTGCATCATAGGATGGGACATCGCTCTTGTGAATGGCGAGTCAAAGGCAACGGGATGGAGGGGGAACAGCGCATCGCCTTTATCCTTGTTCTTCGCCGGTCATGGAACAGGCTGGACGCAGTAGCTTATGCACGGGGACGGCATCGTTCTCGAATCAGGTCGAGCCGGAGTGAGTGCCAGACCTTGGTGAACTGCCCCGGCCGTTGCCCTTTCAGTCAGCGACATATCTTTTGCATGTATCTCTAGGACAGCAAGTGTGAAATTGACCACTGATGTTAACTGCGAGCGGCCCAGGAATGAGTGGACATCAATTACCTACACCAAGCTACACGGCTGAGGCGCGCACGTTATGATGAGATCTACGGGGTTCGCTAAGTGGCTGGGGGAAGTGAAAACTGTATTTAGCTGTCGACAGGACCAACCGCAAGAAAGCCAGTGCTATTCAAGCCATTTATCAATGCCCTTAAAGGAAGAATGTCCTGCTGCAAAACACCAGCTCCCCACCACAAACCTTACATCCCTGCTACACGAGGTAAACGGATGGTTTCATCGGAAGCAACCCATGTCTACCATAGCAGTATCCTTCTCAAGGACTTGAGTAACCCGCAGTTTTACATGCCGAGCTGAGTGTGGCCCAGCCGCCACATATGATGGATGCTGTAGGGGTCAAGTTGGGCTTGGGATGCCCGATGGAATAAGCTTTGCCTGGCGTCCTCGAGATCCATGGCTTCCGGCGCGGGCCGGGATCCTAAGCCTGGGAATGAGGCCAGGCAAAGAGAGGAGAAGGGGGCCTTCCCGCACGTGTTGCGAATCAAGGAACCCACACGTTTCCCCCATCCCCTCACCACCTAAGCCCAGACCAGGACGGATATCGTACCACCCTTCCCGTCTGCAGGCTTGGCTGAGCGGCCGATGTGCTGTGCCCGCATTAGGCCAGCATTCATCTGCAACATGGTAGGTCCTGGCGCACATAAGCCCAGTAAGGGCTACTCCCATCCAATTCGTTAACGCAGGGTCCTTCTCTGAACCCCAGTAGCCAGTAGATCAAGTTGGTATGGCACATGATGCATAGCTAGGTCGGGGAAACCCATAAGCAGTGAAAGGTGCTCGGGGCCGCGCACCCGCTGTTTACGTAGTTTCCCATCCCCATTTCACTCAACAGTCTCGATTCTGAGCTCGTGATACAGTATATCTCTTTGCTTGTTTTCCTCCTGACCAAGCCCCCCGTGAGTCAAGTTGAGATGGCGTCTCCCCCTGTGGCCACGCAGGCCACCAGCTCTGCGCCCCAAACCACGGTGGCCGAAGAAACCACTGCCGATGGAGATACGCACATTGCTGCGTTGGTAGGCACCCCGGGGGTCACACCACGTCTATATGAGCATGAATCTGACATGAGCAAACCTTTCTATTGTCATGATTAGGAAGCTGAAGCTATCGATGATGACGATGGAGACTCTGCCCTTGGAATTGTGAGATGCCTCCTTAACCAGCCCATGACTTGCACGAAGCATCGTGGCCAGACTTGTGAAAACCGGACTAACGCCATGTCGATTACCTAGACCGACGATCAATTGTCCTCTGAGTCATTACGGTCTAGCATTTACCATTATCATATGGAAAACGGTCGCAAGTATCATTCGCTAAGCCAAGGAAGTGCGTCTTGTCTCGGCTTGTTTTAGTGGGACATAGCTAATTCTATGGCAGAATATATCCTGCCAAATGACGAGGTTAGCACTTTGCTCGCAGTATTGGAGCATGTGATTATATGTTACTGATTTCAGGTTCATTATTTAGGAGGAGAATGACCGGCTTGGTACGATTCACACAATGGTTGAAGGCTATCTGATGAGTTTATACTAACATGAGAAATGTAGATATCCAAAACCACCATTTTCGTGTCACATTTGATGGACGCCAATACTTTGCCCCAGGCGCAGATAGTGCCAAGCGCGTTCTTGATGTTGGAACCGGAACTGGTATATGGGCTATTGAGTTTGGTATGACTTTGACTCCTTTGATCCATCAAAGGAACTACTGACCATCCTACGTAGCTGATGATCATCCCGATGCCACGGTTTGTGAATCTATTTCTTTGACACGGAGGTATATCAATATTAACAGCTTCAAAAGGTCATTGGAGTTGATCTTAGCCCAATCCAACCTGAATTGTAGGTCCTCGCCTTTACACTTTGCTTCAGCCACTGTCTTGCTGACTGCTGCGCTTCACTTAATAGCGTCCCTCCCAACTGCCAATTCGAAGTCGATGATCTGGAGAAAGAGTGGACATGGACGAAGCCATTTGATTACATCTTCAGCCGCATGATGATCATGAGCTTCGCGAGCTGGGACAACTACTTGGTGCAAGCAGATAGGTAGGTCGCATAAAATGCGTCTCCCTCGACCCAGCATGGCATGCTATTATTAGAGTCGACAATGAAATGAGTTACAGTCAACTGACAACCTAATTAGGCACCTGGTACCTGGCGGGTGGATTGAAATGATTGATATCTACTTCCCAGGTGATTCCGACGATGGGACCTTGACAGAGGATCTGAATCTCTTCAAATGGAACGAGTACATGCGCAAGGCTAGTGTTGAGCTCAGCCGTGATTGGATGGAGGTGCAGAACCACAAGAAGCGACTCGTCGACTTTGGGTACCAGAATGTTCAACAGAAGAACTTCAAGTGGCCTATCAATACCTGGCCAAAAGACAAGAAGCACAAGGAGGTCGGACTGTGGACCCTTGCTAACATCGAGGCCGGCTTGGAGGGTCTGTGTATGGCTCTATTTACGAGAGGCCTGGGATGGACTAAGGAGGAGGTGGTGTCTTTTGTCGCCGCTGTTCGCAAGGAGATGAGAGACCCCCGTATTCATGCCTACTGGCAGATGTAAGTTGCAGACTGACCACAGTAGTTCTAGTTTTCTCTTGATGACATGGCTAACGAGTGATTTTACAGCGTTGTTATTTATGGACAAAAGCCATATGATAAGTAAGCATGATCTTGGGAAGTAGAATGGTACTGGGCTGCTGCCGGCGGCGTATTATTTCTGTGATTCGGGTGATCACGTTTATAGGCACACCATGACGAAGCCAAAGCAAATAGATACCTAAGTGGCATTGTGATGTCTATAAACATTCATTATGATGACAATTACTAACTATGGGAATCCCAACTCAAACTTCACCATTGATGCCGGCTCGTATCCGACATACTCGTTCCCTTGGAAGGGGTAAGGTCCATCCGCATAAATATAATCCTGGATTTCATCAGATACGCGAACAAACGGTCCGCTCATAAGCAGTTTCTGACATGTGCAGATGGTCAATTTGATCCGATCCTGCTTTTCCCGGCGACGCCAACGCAGCTTGTACTTGACCTGGGCAAGAATATGCCCATAGCTCCCCCTTCCAGATCGGACATAGAGTCTGTCCAGCTCGACGGAGCGCAGGGTGCGAGGCATGGCCCCGAGAAGAGCAATTAGATCCTGTGACCGAACGCACATACCCGAAAGACCAAAATGGCGGAGCCGCGGCCAGCATTCAACCGGAAAGACATGAATCAGGGGAGGGATATGATTGTTGGGGATTATACTCGCCCGCACATCGATTGTTTGTAGCCATACTGAACTCGTCCGTAGCCTGAAGTGTTCCAAGTGTTTTGCGCCGCTCAGCGCCTGCTGAAAATGCCCACTTCTAAATAGAGAGCCCTGGTGAGTTTGACCTTCTATGGCGATAGCTAGGTCTAGGCGACGGAAGCCTGGGCGGCTGATCAATGTGGTTAAGTCATGGAGCTCATCACACGGCTCTTCGAATATGCGATGGCTGATCCCGGTCGGGAGAATACCTGCATCCAAGACAAGTTCGGTGACTCTGCACTCGCTGTGTGAAGGTGCGGCAAGCAGTTTGAAAATGGTACGCACGCCTTCCCACATGTTTTTCTCTGATTCTGTAAGCCGGTGCCAGGGGTCAGAGAGTTCAAGATTGTTCACTATTCCGAAAGGGCCCTCGAGAGTCCAACGGTGAGGAAAAGGATAAATAAAGCCGTGTGGGAACTCGCGGACCATGGGGGATGGGTATCGTGGGTTGTGCACACCACCATGAGCGTCGGGAGTGACGGTGATCCGCTGAAGAGCAGGGAACCGGCTCACACCAATATGCAGGGCGTTCACATGACCACCGGACTGGCGTAATTCATCTTGCGCCCGGACGAGTTCTTTATAGTATTCATACGAATCTTGGGGTCGCCCATTCCCGCGAGGGCCCATGTCGTCCTCTTTACTCCTTGACCACGTTTGCTCGATCTCTAGTCTCCGGCTCTCAGAATGCTGCACGAACCATGTAGTTGAGGGATCATCCTCCGAGTGGCCATCGTGACTGGGCCTTGCTGGTGGAAGGGGAGTAAAAACTGCGTCATCCCAGACAATTTCGGTGACGAAGCGGCGCAATGTCTCGTGAGCTGCAATGGCCAGAAAGACCTCGACATTGCGCGGATTGGCCGAGAGGAAGACGCGGTCTATTCGTAGTTCTATCGAGGCAGACAGCTTTCTCGATGACAAGCGCATATGCTTAATATCTGTGAGATCGAGGTGTGAGGAAATGAGAAGGAGAAGCTCGGTTGACAGAGCTAATAACGACATTGTGACTGCTTTTGATGATGATGAAGGGAAGAAACAGGCTCTGGCCTGTCAAGCTGAGCCACTCGTGGGACAATAGCAGGCGGCTGCCCCGTTGAGGGAGGGATTCCGGGAGTCATTTTCCCCCTGTACAGTGTAGGATTTATTAGTACTCGACAGTCTGGTAATCTTTGATTCCCTAAAGGTCGAGGTGCAGAAGTGGGGAGGTTGTCTGGCCTTCAATTCGCTGTCGTATCGGACCAAGTAGGCCAGGTATGTGACCTCGGCTTCCTTATTTGATTGGTGTCCTGTTAACTAAGATAGTATCGATATCTTTCTTGTGACCCTAAATGACGAAAACATCATATCATTTACTAGTGACATGGATGGGACGGATGACTGAGATTGCATCTTGAAATATAGGCAATTACTGAATCGCCTTAATAGTCATATCCCGACTAGAAGCAGATCATAAACCATCTTGTGATGGCGTGCTGGTATCAAGGCAATAAACCCTCCCGCTATATATATTTTATCCTGGGATTAAAGTTTATTGACACTGAAGCCCTGTGTTGAAACTACCGAACTTGATGGTGAGATAGACTTCTTGATGACGTGGTACTTTGAGATAACTCTAGAGACTTGGAACTAGGGTTTTCGTCTATAAGACACTCTGAAATACAAATATGATAAGGGACATGCAATCTCAAGTCGAAGGACATTTATGGTTCTATAGGTTTGGTAACAATCGAAGGGGAAACGTTACCGCACTAGAAACATCTCGAAGCCAAGCCGGTAGACCTGGTGGTGGAAGATCTTGAACTGAGAGAAGATCTATCTAATACTAAACAGGGTGTTAGCCTGTAGATCTCATGTGTGAAAGGAATTTGACCATTATTCCGAACTCCTAAGGCACGAGGTAGTGGAGCGCGGAATATCACCGTCGAGCTGTGGTGGCTGGATTACATCAGATTTGACTTTTTGCCGAGTGGATAGCTATCCGGTAATAAACGACGGACAGGAAGCAAGCAGGTCTGGGCCTGGTAGAGATCGTGAGATCGTTGATTAACCCGATGCGGCGGTCTAACTTCGCAGCCGTAGCATGGACCGTTGTCGAGAAACTCTGTAGTAAGGTTAATACGGCAAAACAAAGGGATAAGCATACTTTGAGACGGTATTGAATATAGAAGAAATGGAGCGTAATAGTTTACTTTAAGTCGTAGCAAGAGGATGATTCAAGTGCTGGATACCATGGTGCCGAAGGTAAGATACTTCGAAATCGCTACCTTGGTCTGGGTGAAGACTACCCAGGCAGAGGTTCTGGACAAGAATTACTTCATGGACCCTGACTTATTGCTTTTAGATTAGCCCGACGATCGGTATCGATCATCTTTGTCAACTGGATCGGAAGAGCCACCGATCTTCTAAATAGAAAGTTTACTTGCTTTGAAGAAAGCAACGCCCCGCTCAATATTCACACCAACTGTGTCTAGCCATGGGGCTGATGTTGATGAACACCAAAATGCATATTTTTGAATTGTCTTAATTATCTTTGGCTATGAGTTCTGACTACAACGGGGACAAATTGACACAGAATGGCGGGATATTAGTCCGATCGACGATGCCCCTGGCTGGCGACTGTCGACTTTGAGTCGTGATAAATTTAAGAAATTTGCATCACCCCAATAAGAAGGAGAAAAAAAGACGTGCTCGCTTACGACGATTCGATTCGAGCTAATCGGCTTCGGTGGAGTTCGACAAAGGTTCGTTGGTGCCAAACTTAAAGATGTTGACATGGCGCCAACTGAAGCCAACATTCCTGCCAGAAGCGACTGTGGGCCTTGACGGCCACGAGTTTTAAGCAGACACATTAAAGCTAATGAGATATCTCCCAGTGCCAAGATCTAATAAACCTTCCCTACCGCTCTGACATGAACAGTGAAGTGGAATGGCATACTTGCTTAGGGTTGCGACCTTCATTGTGCCGATGGCCGTTTGAATTGTTCATTTTGGAACAAAAGAATTCACGACATCACTATGTTTTCTGGAAAAGGGCTTTTGGTATGAGCACTGTTAGTCCGTACTGCAAAGACGATAGAGACTGATGTAAACCCAGGCCGTCGAATGGACGCTTATTGGCATTGCGCTCATCCTCCTCATCGCACGACTGAATCTACGAATCCGGCATCTTCGATCGGGATTTGTGATTAGCGACTACTTTATGCTTGCAGCCTTTGTCGCGGCTATTTCCTTAACGTCCGCTGACACTTGGTTATACCACATGAAAGTATACAAGCCAGATGTGGATTTTCAGATGAATCGCTGGGAGTCATCAGTTGAAGAAAGAGTCCAGGTTTACAAGGTACGTGGGATACTATCGCCAAGTATTTATAAAGATCAACACAACTGAGTGAATCCGGAGACGTTCTTCAGTTTATACTTTGCCTTCTATCTCGAACAATATCTCAATAAGGGTACTCTAATTGCATTGTATTTTGAGATATTTGGTCAGCATATGGGAAAGACGAGGACCTCCTTATTCGCTCTTTCGAGCTTTTGCATCATTGGATTCACAACTACTGTGTTGATGAACCTGTTTTATTGCCGCATCGGCTGTTACTGGTATGCCTATTTCCCATCACTAAAAAATGCCTGGGGTAGCTGACCGTGTTTAGGTCTCTTGATAGTCCCTGCGAGGCAAGTTGTGTCGTTGTCAAGGATAATGTGGGCTGGGCTTTTCATTTCGCCAGTGGCCTTCTCAGTAAGGATAACTCGGTGGCAATACGAAACCCAGTTGCTAATTTTACCAACCTAGTCTTTGTTCTGCCTCTGGTTTACATTAATCGATTAAACATGTCGAAAACACAGAGAATTAGCACTGGTATTATTTTTTGCCTCGGGTTCAGCAACCTCTGCATCGCCTTGGCTAGGTGGTTCATCGTCCAATCTGTGTTCTCACCGAGCCCTTCTCTTCCTTTCGGCGGTACGTTCTTTCTGCTTAGGAATTTTGACCCATCGAAACTTACGTTTTTTCACAGAGGCTCTTGCCGTTTCAGACGCTCATTCAGGGCTGATTATCTCTATTTTACTGTCACTCCGGGCGTACCTGAGAATTTTCCGGGGACAAGACCCCGAGACTCGCCATGCACGCCTCACCAGTACAAGTACCAGTGCTACTGGCTGCCGCTCCCAAGTATCAGCTATCCGGAAAGAGATTACTACATGTCAGGAAATATCCTATCTTAGCGTGTAAGATTGATCACATTCTGATTATTAGATTCGAAACTTACTGATGGGGTCCACAGGGACGAGCAGGCGTTTTTCCAAGGAAGAGTTCCCGATGTGTTTTGCGACACGAGATCAATCAGGACGGTATCGGTGAATGGAAATGCGGTCTGAGATTCGAAGTGACTTGCGACTTAGGCTTTTTCTCTTTGGAAAGGGGCATTTGAATCCCCTTCTCAATTTGACTCGTGGCAAGAACGCCGACGGCGTCTTAAGCTAGTTAGAGATGTTCACGCGAACGATGAATGAGGGTACATATATGCTTCAAGTTCCCATCATTATTCAGTGGACTGATGAATGATGTTAGCTTTTGAGAAGCATCAATAAGAACCTATATACAGAATCATCAAATAACTTCGTTATCTCCAAAACATCTAAAGGCGTATGAAATATGAGAAAGCCGTGATGGAGTGTAGTCATCTAGTGGGCAATGAACGACAAGATCTCTAACAAAAATGTCTAATGCAGTCTAAAGAACCAGAGCCAAAGTGGAATGATCAGAGCCAGCTGTAAACAAACATAATACACCAACATCTCAATACCAAAACGGTTCGAAATAAGACCGAAGACAAATGGCATGAACGCTGCACCAATCTGGCCCATGGAATTGACAAAGGAAATGCCCGCAACCTGCACTTCCCTTGGGAGCAACTGTGTCATCATAATAATGCCAGAGGGATATAAGGGCCCGAGGAGGAAGCCCAACAAAGCCATCAGAGCTACCGAGACAGCTGGGATGGTTGAAACTGCAAAGGCAACTTGAGAAAGAAGAGCCAGGCAAAGAAAAGATGTGACCAGAAGTTGAACTTGCACATATCTTGTCATTACTCCCAGAGAGAGTTTCCCTGCTGCTAGGCCGAGATGAAATAGGGAGACGCAAGCGCCCCCTAGCAAATTTGAGCCTTCGTTTACTCTATTCATGTATGCGATGCCCCATCCTGTCACGGTAACTGCGGAAGAGAGTTTAGTTTAGGTTGGACTGAATATCTGGGTGGGGGAATGCTTCTCACATTCGACGCCCATGAACCCAAAAACATAGGCGCTTCCAATCCACGTGGCAGCATAGCTAAAACTGGATTGAGGACTCGGTTCTTCATCGGGTTCTGCTTCGTCTCGAATATTCTTTCGCCCGTTTTCGACGTGGAATGACTCGACATCATGTTGCCAAAACGAATACGCTAGGCATGGTAGCTCGAGGAAAACAAAGGCAGTCTGGGAGAATCAAATTAGCCACGGATTCGGTCGTATATCACTCTACCTCAGATTTTCCATACCAGAACATAATACCAAGTATACCACGGTCTATGGGCAGCCGAGGTGATGGCATTTGCTAGAAAAGGCCCAGAAGCGGCACCGATTGAAAATGCGCCATGGAGCAGGCCGATGACCGTCTTGGCGGGCTTCATCCCTCCGACCCAGGCGTAGAGCGATCCATCCATCAGTCCGAAAAAGCCAACAGCGACGAGGGAGGCGAGGAGAACGGGGAACGGGGGTGCCTGGGAGGCAGTCAAGGCGTAGGTCAGTTGGCATACTGGCGCAATTATAACAGCGACACGACGACCGCATTTCAAGTGGAGGGAACGGCTGAAATAGGCGGCGAGGAAGAACCCAACAGGGGGGCAGAGGAAGATGATGGATATAGCTTTGTCGGAGAGTTGATAATATTCCTCTAACTGTATTTGAAGCCGGTTGTCAGCTTGTTGTTTGTAAATGAATCGGTCGATCGGAGAACGGCGTCATACCTGCGGTAATATGGCCTAAGAAGAGCAGCGTTAGCAATGTTTCGCATGTTGCCGTACATGACATCACAAGACAAGAGAAGAGAAGCCAGGGAGGGAGTGGGAAGGGAGCGATGATGGCTATCATAGGGTGCAACTCACGCCCAAGGTGGAGGCTACCAGTCCTGCAACGAATAGCGCATATACTCCAGAAGCTATTTCAGCGAGTGGAAGTGCCTCCTTGGCCGGTTCTAGGATCTCTGAGGACAGGAGCGCTTCTTCAGCTCCAAGATGCTCGTCGCGACCCCGCCCGGCGATCAACGGTTCCGATTCCATCGCTACTCCTCTCGCTGCGGAGCGGTAACCGACGTAAGGTAGCGGGGAGGGAGTAGGGCAGAGCCGGGTGGAAGGGAAGCTGGCGACGGCAAGAACCAGCGAGGGGAACGGGTAGAATACTAGTAAAACGGCGGGATGTTGATGTTGGACGGAACTCTTGAGGCAAGCAGGGGGCCGATGGCGGCATCTATAATGCGTCCGGATTTGGAAAGATAATCGATAAGATAAGACCAGCGTGCTGATAACAGAGCACTGGCCAATTAGACGCGCGCGATGGGCGATAAGAGCCAAGCTTATCGCCTTACGTCATCCCGTTGCTCTCTGCACCTCCTCGGAAATCGGAACTTCTAAAATACCTAGCTGGAGATAACTACAGAGTTGCGAGCTTGACGAGTCATGAAGGGCCTTTTCTGACGCTTGTTATCAAGAATAATATCCCTCACGTGTCTATAGATGGCCATATGCTTTCACAGGGGAGTCGCAGTTGAAGGACGAATTGCGTTCAAAGCCAATTTCGCCCATCGAAGCCAATTTCGCCCATCGAAGCCAATTTCGCCCAGCTTCGCCCTGTTGTCTGAAGCTGATGATTGGAAATTTGAATGGTTCACATGTATTACACCCATGATGTTCACTTAGAATAAAAGTTCGATGAGTCCATATAATTAAATAATAAAACTTCATGTCAAATTCAAGCACTGTACTCAAGTTTCACTTCCGCCATGCCTTTCGGCAATGGTCAACGTCTAGCAGCCTGGCAAGGCATTCGCTATGCCTTCTTACTTTCAATCAATTCTTTCAGCACAATGCGCGAAAGGGGCGCAGGATTTGACTCGGGATGAGCGGTTTCTTGGTGCTCAAGTAATTGATGAAGATCTGCCCAATTTCTGCCGCAGCATCGGAAACCTTTCAAGTACTCGACTCCTTTGGTACGTATGGAGAGAGAAGAATGAATCGAAGAGGAAGCCTTGGAGGAAGATACCGACCCACGCCAAGGTTTAGCTGCGTTGAGCATTCTCAAAAACTCTCCTGATCCTGGTCCCGATGATGATTTTATCTCGGCCCATTCCCTCTTCCTATTGCATTCCTGAGGGATAGCGATGCGATCGACTTCTGGTATAGGGTTATCTGTACGAGTTCTCGGGAGAGGCGGTGACAACCCAAGACTCGCGTGTTGATTTTTCTGATGAGATGGAGATTCGTCGTCTGAGCAGTCTGACATTGTGAATTCATCATCTTCCATCCCATACGATTCCTCCACGGCAGGCAATAATGGTGATGAGTTTCTCTCGTTATTTTCTGACGCGGATAGAGAGACTTCATCTTTATGAGTGACCTTGGCGTATCGAAAAATGCTTAATATCTGATTATCTCCAGTAAGGCCATTGGATATTCTTGGTGGCAGCTGGCCATCACTTGACTTTGGCCACGGATTAACCTTCCCAGTCGCCAGCAAAAGATGTATGATGTCCACATGTCCCCCATCGATAGCGTAGAATAGTGGCGTCTTCCCTGCATCGTCTTTTCTGTCGAACTGAATTTGGTATTTAGAAGGGGAGAAATTGTCCCGATACCCGTCCCGGATTAATGGTAGCATTATTGAAGTGAGGCCATATTGCGCGGCCCAGGATAGCGGGGTCCTCCCGCATTTATCTGGAATGTCAAGCTCGGCACCATGCTGTATAAGAATGCTGGCGATAGATTCGTCTGATTTTGAGCAAGCAAGTCCTAATGGGGTTCTCCCAAGACTGTCCTGGTGGTTGACGTTCACAACACTCATCAGAGGAGAGATGTTCTTATCTGTTATCCAATCATTCTCAAGGCCTATATGTAAAATGCTTCGGCCATACGAGTCGAATTCGTTACCCATTTTTTTAATGAGTCGCTCATTCGACAAGTCCTCTGGTCCAAGCCAGTTTAGAACAACGTGTCCTGGAGAAATTGATGGAAGGATATTCTTCGCTTTCATTTTCGGTAATTCGGTGAAAATGTTGGATATAGTATCACAATAAGATTCTTCGGTGACAGCGTCTGAAGTCGATGGGCTTGTCCTTTCTAAAATAACATATTGGATGTTAATAGCTGTGTAATACGAGAGGGCCGTTGCCTTCTCTACTAACGAAGGTAAGGCATTTGTTATATGTTTGTCTTGGCAGTCTTGACAACCGAAACACTCGATCTCAAGGTTGAGGAACGGGAAAAGAGATAGAAGAAGAAACGACATCTGGTCAGATTCTGAATCTATCACCGCCTGCTGAAGTTCTCGGAATACTGCGATCCGGTTTGAGCAGACTTCCTCATGTAATAGAATGCCGCTTTGGCGAAGCTGAGGGAGATTTGGATCAGGCTCGTCGTTAAGATGCCGGAAACTGAAGGAAATAGCTGTAATTCGATTCGACCTGTATTGGATTTAGCTAGCGCATCGCCTCTTCCGATAGCTCGGACTCACAGTTCAACGTAGTCACTGAAAGTCAGCTTGGCCTCGTTCATGTCCCACCCATTATCAATGGGTAATGTACGCTCAGGGGGCGAGCTCGCCTGCTGGCCAGCTAGAACACTTTCTGAACAATCGAAATTCTTCTGCGCACATCGATCGCATTTCTGCCCAGGCCATACGCGATCTTGAGGCTCACACTAGCCGGCTGGTCAACACAGAACAGCAGGCAGAGAACGAGAGATGCATGGAACATACTTTCTGTTTGTCCTTCCTACATTGAGTGCATTTTTTGTATCTCAGGCGTCTGGGTCCGTCCGTCATTTTGTTGCTTGTCTTTTGCACGTTGCCCCGCTATGGGAGCCGGCAAGGTGAACTTTAATGTTGCGGTTTAGAAATAAATGGCTTGTTGATTTGGCGTTGTGTGGGACTTCGAATCTTGGCAGTGAGTAGAGAAAGAAGCTGATGTTTTTACGGGAAAAGAAAAAGATGAGACCATATGAATCTGGGCTGGGAGTTGATTTGGCGCGGCCTGCAGGAGTTAATGGGACAAAGTGCACTCAATCAACGCCCTAGAAGAAATGAGGATTCCAATTCAAAAGTGCCAACCTTCCTCAATCAGGGCATAGGGTCGTCGCAGTCGTCGCAGTCATCGCAGTCATCGCACGGCTGGGTTGGAGCTTTGTTATTGGTTCGCTGCAAGACGCCCTGATTCAGGCTATGCAGTGCCCATCACAATTCAATAGTTGCATTTCTTAGCGCACTGCACATGGCACTCCTTGTGGCCATCGCAGTCATCGCACTGTTACATCGGATTTCTTATTGGTTCGCTGCGAGCTAAACTCAACGCACCAGGTACCTTGGCATTCCGGACGATGCCATCACAATGCATACGTCTACCTTTTTATCGCACTGCCCATCGCACTCGTTACTTCTATGTATCCATCCTCCACGATGCTTCTAGTCTGGATCGAGCTTGAGTGCGAGACTTCAGTTTTCATGTGTGCCACGTTACGTAGCAACAACTGGCGCGGCGCAGCGAGTGGTGGAAGAAAGATTGAAGGCAACAACTTATATTCCAATTTGCATAAGCTAGATTAGGTTCTCAAGTGGCTTCAATCCTTTGGTTCAGTGCAATTTTGTACCCTTCCAATCTTTTGCTGGCCTACAACTCGGAGCCCTCTGCAGCTCTGTTGGCGGAGTTGCTCTGGGGAACGTTCTCAGTCGGGGAATGCCAAAAGCTAAGCCAAATTGTCTGTTGAATTCCAGTGTTACGCTCTTCAACACTTTGTTAGCTTCATATATTTGCTACCAAAATGTGGCGGAATGCGGACTTTCACATACCTCTTTTTTTATGTTGTAGATAGCTCTGGACGATAGTTATGATGGCAAGTGCAGCAGCAATGGAACCGAAGACGATAGTGAATAAGACCTCGGACTGCATGTTGATATTCCTAGGACGGATTTGTATAACTGTAGGTGCTCCAAAGTGAGAAGAGTATGAAAGAGTGCAGGTTCATATGTTCTAACATCTGTAAGGTTTATATATAGCATTTTTGCTGAATAATCCCTGCGTATTGTGCTCAGCCTCTAATCGTATGGGCGGTCCTGCCATACATACAATGTCCTGCTATGGGCTATCATCCATCCCATGGTACCTGATTGGTGTTGCGTCAGAGTTAATTCGTCTGCTGCTCCCACTACTCCCTCTTGATGCCCTCTTGAGACAAAACCGACATCGACGTTGTTTATTCTAGTTGGAGATACCGCAGCCTCCCAAAATTTAGAAGCTTGTATTTAGGGCTCAGAGGGTTCAAGCTGAACTTTGGCCTGCACCTTTTGCTCCTCGGTGGATGACTCAGAGTCTGGGGATCCCGTAACTGGTTGGTCACTTTCGTGTCCGCCTCTTTTCCCTTTGATAACAATCCATATACTCTTGAATCCTCCATCAACAAGGGGATAAAAGTTGCCCACGATGAGGGTAAACCAGAGGAAAATATAGGCGAAGACTATCCAGGCGGTGAAGAACTTGTTTATGTCTCTATGTTAGCAGTGATCCACGATACATTGAAATCCAGCCAACTTACCGGTTTTGAGAAGACTATCTTGGCACCGTACATTGCCAGAGGCCAGAGCAGAGCATGCCCAAGAATAGTGAATATTGCCCAGAAGGCTGCCCAGCGGCTCATTCGCTTCATGTACTGGACCCTCTCGGGGGTGAACCACTCAGCCTGGTCTGTGCCAAGTTGCGCGGCACGACCATGCTCCGTCTTGATGCTCTTTATCTGATTGAAGTTGGACCAATTGAACGATTGTGGCTGGGCTAAAGAGATGAGGAGAGTAACGGGTAACGGGACGAAAAAGGAAACGAGGCAGCCAAACAAGTTGGGTTTCGTTGCTCCAGTAGAAGCGATTGATATTTTCCCGTAGTAATACCAGGCGGTTGATAGCCAGACAGAGATACCACAGATCATTCCAACAATAGGCGATACGATAGCCGCCAGCCTTGTCTGGCCTCTCCAAAGAAGAGTGAAAAGGGTAGGGAAGACGCCTGGATTAATCATGTTGCCGATAACATAGAGTAGCCAGCTCATGTCTACACCACCTAGGTGGAATGCTGTCGCTAGAGTTGAGATGAAGATCAAAGTGGTGACAACTCCGATGTGAGACCAGCGGATAAGCTGCTTGTCATTTGGAGCCTTGTTGATGTAAGTACCATAGATGTCGAAGCTAATGATGGAACTGGTCGCAATCATTTGCGCTGAGGCAATAGATGTGCAAGCCTTCAGTATGTGAGTCAGTCCGAATGGTCGAGTTTCTGGCAATCTCGCTTTTCTTACCATAAATATCGTGACTAAAAGAGCTCCGGCACCTGCTTTTCCTGAGACGGCTTGAACAACGTATGGAAGCACTAGCCCGCTGCTGACCTCCTCAGCAGTCATGGTCTTGAAATAATCAGCGTTATTCCCTATTTTCATGTTTATGGATAGGACATACCCTCGGATAGATGGGAAAAGCTGGCGTTGGTTCCAGAGCAATTGCAGCCAGACCTCCGATTGTACCAACGGTCCATGGCACAGAGAAAGAGGCAACTCCGCCAAGAACATAGCCTGGAACGGCAGCAGCAACATCAGCTGAGAATCCCTGAGGCACCGTGAGTAAGTAGCTTCATCTAAGTCTTCGAGTTGGCGGTCTAACCTTCTGCCAAAACCCGGTGTCCATTATGACAGCCCCGATATTTGAACTTAGAACCCAATTAGATAATTACAAGCCACGCGAGATGGTAAGGAGTTCTCACATGACGTGCAAAATACCAAAGAAGAGACTCTCGTCACTCCTCATGGTTAGATGCGAGCCCTTGTAGTTTCCTTCGACTGGCTTATTCTTGTCTGCAGCGATGACGGCGTCATAGAGAGCACCAATTGAGCCGATCTCCTTGGCCACAATTATCTTAATCGTCAACCAGACCAGGATGATCATGACAATGAATGTGTGAACGTAGTCGGTAAGGAATGTGGCTCGTAAACCACCGAAGTAGGTGTATATGGCAACCCCAAGCTTGACCCTCGTCATCATCACGCTGTTCAGGATCGGATCATTTGTAGACTTACTGGCAAGAGATATGTACTCGCAATGACCGACATTCCAGTGAGCGACGCGACTGCAGTGGCTGCACCTAGTAACATGGCTGAGAACACCAGGGTGTTGTTCAGGAGGCAAAGAACCACCCACAAAATGTGAGCCGTGGTGCCGTAACGCGTTTTAACGAGTTCCAAAAGCGTGTGTGCGTTCGGCGATTTTCGTTTGGCCTCGATGGAAATATAGGACAGGAGACAGATGACAATACTGGCGGAAGCTCCCCACCAGACGCCCAGTGCCAGCCCATATTTGTATGTGAGTAAGGTGGCGCCCAGAAGTGCAGTACTGTAGAGCCAAGATGAGATAACTGCGGCGGCAGTTAGTCCTGTCCCGACAGAACGGTTGGCGACCATAAAACTGTTTATGTATTAGTAAGGGGTGCTACTCGTAGATAGTGAATTGTCCTACGTCTCTGTGGCTTTGTTATCTTCATCAAAAGCCTTCTTCATTAGATGGGTGACCCAAATCATTCCTGTTCATTTCGTCAGAGGACTCTGAACAGGTAAGTGAAGAAATATGGTAAATACCGAGAGCGAAAGCAGCCCCAAGACCAACGATTACACCGTAGCCGGCGCTTTGTGGCAATGGAGGTGTCACATCAGCCATTTTGAAAAAGATGTTGTAAGTACTAAGATGAGCCCGTTTAACTGCGACTCGCTAGTGACATTGTGTGGTTCTTGTTATCTCTAGGTTTATATCTACGGCACCATTTAGAAAATCACTTGGCAACTAGGTTACCTAATGCTCTGATCACATCTTCGCAATACAAAATTGCGAGACCCGAAGATGCACCTAGGCGAGTTTCATTCGGCTTGGCTATGGAGAAGTTCAATGTTATTTCCAACTAAAGCCGTAGAGCTCATGTGGAGAAGCAGGTTAAACGAGTTAAGATCCTCGTTCAACATAATCGCCGAACGTCTCCCTGCCTTCTAATGTAGGGCAAGGCATAAAGAAGAAAGCTCTGCTTGAGGTTCTTATTTTTTTAAAGGCCGAGGACATACATCCCATGCCGGGTTTCGTCCACAGTAGTGGCTTCTTATGAGCTGGTTTTCTTTCTAAAGTGTGTACGGGTGGCTTATCGTTGATCCGCTAGCATTGTGATGGATTCATTTGCATGGAAACCATGTCAAATGATACCTGGAAAAAGGGATCCCCTGATCTTGACGTATCGGAGAGTTTCGGCGGTGTGGGCAGATCTCTATTCCATCAATCCCTTGCTAGATGGACCTCTTACATAAGTTTCCTCTGATTCATTATTGGGGTTCATCATATGAACGTGCAGTTCTCCAGGGTTCGTAGGTGGATCTTTCGCATTGCATCATTGCCCTCACCATATGGCGCAAGATCCTTCCCGTTGCTATGATTGGACAGGTAAGTTATATCGAAAGTGTTATTGAGCATGTGTTTGGTCAATTCCATTGGTTCCCATGGATATAGAAAGGTTCCATGGTCAAGTGCTTATCTGAAATCGTCAACAGACGATGGGGCAAGACAATGGTGTGACTGAGGCCAAGATAACACCTTAGATGTATTATGAACCATGATCCACATTGACAAACACGTGGAAGTGTTAGTATGAATTTGTTAAAATGTCCGAAAACTCTTCTTAATCTTGGCTAATACTGTGTATGATCCCTGGCCTTGTCTAATTCCGTGTGCCAGATTTGTTCCAGCACAACTCTAATCCGCAACTTGACAACAATCATGACGAGAGCAGACGAAAGGAAGCCGAAGAAATGGATCCTGAACGCTTTTACAATGAGCACGCCAGGGCACCTAGCTCCGGGTACTTATGGCCGCTTTGCTTCTTGAGCTAAACTGACATTGTCTAGGGCTATGGAGACATCCTCGTAATCAGTCCGCTCAATACACAGATATCGAGTACTGGACAAATTTAGCCAAGATCCTGGAAGATGGGAAATTTCATGGACTGTTTATCGCAGATGTCTTGAGCCACTATGGGGTATACAAGGGTGCTGGTAACATTGATCCGTCATTACCGAGCGCTGCTCAATTCCCGATTACCGATCCTTTGTAAGTTACCCGAGTGTTTAACGTAATGTGGCCACTGACTAGTTGCGAAGTCTACCCGTGGCCGCCATGGCAGCAGTGACGAAGCACCTGTCGTTTGGAATTACAGCCTCAACCACATACGAGAACCCATTTTTGCTTGCAAGAAGGTTTGCTACACTTGATCATTTGACGAAAGGTCGCGTAGCTTGGAATGCTGTCACCAGTCATTTGGAGACAGCTGCGAAGAATCTTGGGCTTCCTACGCAAATTGCCCATGATGAGCGATATGAGATTGCGGATGAATTCCTTACTGTGACGTACAAGCTGTGGGAGAGTTCTTGGAGAGACGATGCCGTTGTCAAGGATACTAAAACCAAACAATACACAGTCCCAGGAAGAGTTCGTCAGATTGACCACAAAGGGTATGTCAACCTCGGTCCATACTTCGAAATAGGTGGTAACTAAGCCTTCTCAGGAAACACTTTTCTACTGCTGGTCCCTTGACCACGGAGCCATCGATTCAGAGGACCCCTTTCATCTTCCAAGCTGGAGCCAGCACAGCGGGTAAAGCCTTTGCTACCAAGCACGCCGAGTGTATGTTCGTTCCCGGCATGGAGACACATAAGGTTAAGAAGTCAGTCGACGAAATCCGACAGCAAGCTATTGAGCAGGGCCGGAACCCAGACCACATAAAGATTATTGGTGGCATTCTGATCATCGTTGATGAGACGGATGAAAAGGCACAGGCAAAATATGAGGACTACCTCAACTACATTGACCTTGAAGGTGCTCTGACCCTTTTCGGCGGTTGGACTGGAGTTGATCTCGACCAGTGGTCAGACGACGAGGATTTCAAGTTTACAGGCCCAGGCGCAATTCAAAGCATGATCACTTCGTGGTCGGCCACTGTTCCAGGAACTGATGGGGTAAAGTGGACGAAGAAGAGAATTGCCCAGGAACTCGCTCTCGGCGGCCCGCATCCTCGCGCTATTGGCTCACCGAAGACGGTTACCGATATTTTGCAAAGATGGATTGATGAGTCTACCATCGACGGCTTTAATATTTCATATGCTGTTAATCCAGGTGACTTTGAGGATATCTCAAAGTGGCTTCTTCCCGAACTGCGAGCTCGTGGCGTGTTCTGGGATGATTACGCAGCATCTACGACGCGGGAGAATTTCTTTGACGATGGGTTAGGTCCTCGACTACGTGATGATCACCCGGGAGCGAAGTACACCTGGCTGGCAACTGAGGAAAGTGCCGGAGAGGGCTAAAGAACATACAACTTGCAGTTGTCGATTCCCCATATGATGAAAATAGGAGATTACGTTACCGGGCTGAATATAAATTGTACAACTTACGGATCATCCTGCTTGAGATCGAGCTCTGGTGATTAGTGAGCACTATTCCTACTAGCTACAGTGGTGATGCATTGTCGCCTTCGACTACACTCTGAATGTTGGTGTATGTACCATTGGCTAGGTCAAAGGGCTTCACATTTGGCTTATCGACTTATGTTTTCCCTCCCTAGATGTAGGACTGAGTTGCAACCTGAACGATTGGCCGCATGTTCAAATCAACAGTGAAGGGAAAGGCACATACCTCCATCATGTCAGCCATCGTACTACTACACGAACTATGATAATCAGTCTGTTTTCATCGGCCGTGGCTCTTTTGTCCTGACTTGATCCTCAAAATATCTACTCCGTTTCTAAACTAGGCTGTGGCTCATTTACTAAAGAAGAGAATAGGATCTATAGAGTCCAACAAGAAGGGAGATGATATAAAGTCTAGTTCCGTCAGGAACAAGCCACCCCAACTGCACATTTCATTCACATCAATCAGCCGGAGAATGGAATGTCCATAATACTTTTATTTTTCGCTTTTGTGAATAGCTACTTGTGGATTCCGGGCCTTTGTCAAATATTCAACTATCCCCTTATTTTCAGTAGTCTGTACCTAGATTGATCTGGGTACCGTTGTGCTAAGAAGTTCTCTGATAGCACGAATGGTGATCTTCGTCTACTTCTCACTGATTTGAGTTCCATACATGAACATGAGAAGGTCTTCGAATATGCGGTAGAAGATGCAGAGTATATGCAATATTAGGGGATAGATTGAGATATCGTTCGTTTCTGGTGCTTTGCTTAGATGCATCCGTAGTGGCCGTAGCAGTACTGGTAACCCAGATCGGTACAGTACGTGGTAGGATCCGGCTGGTCAGTGCAGACTGGTCCGGAGCGCTCCTCAACGGTAGGAGTGGCAACGGCGGAGGCCACGAGACCGAGGAGAGCAAGTACGAAGGTCTTGGTGAAAAGCATTTTGATGGAAGCGTGTTTGAGGGTCTGGTAGTAATTGTCTTAAGAGATGACTGGATTTAGAGGAGATGGTTGGATCTCTATTGCAACAGAGCAGAGACTGAGTATTCTTATATTCATGCATTAAGGGATATGGAGCAACCAGTGGGCCGAGAAACGCGCGTCACATAGAAGCGGGTGGTCTGGAACCCTCGTCACCGGAGTTGTCTCAAATAAGACCCTTGCTGCCTTGTTTAACAACAATCAAGGCGGTTACGACTGTACCTTTTTTGCACGTCCACGTAAGGGTAGTGAAACAGTTGCGGATTGTAGAGTTTGCTCTCCCACGAAAACGCTACTGGTGTAAATGTGGTTTGTTAAGTAAGCATGAACGCGATGATCAGGTGGCAATGATTTGAACGGAAGGATACACGACACTTCTGTTCAATGTGTTAACTTGTATTGCTACAATGACTGACTGACACTTCAAAAGATGTTCCAACCCATGCTGCTTGCTACTGGCACTTGCCTAATTTGCAGAAACGGCCCGGAGGTTCTAAATTATCATTGGGAGGTTTAGTACCTCGGTGCAAACTCGACGGTGAGTTGGGTAGGAAAGACGTCTTACATTGGTTGGAATACGGCTAGCCCTTAGCTCTGCCGAATTGCCGAGGGGATCTCTCACTCAGGATGAATTGTTTGTGAGCAGGTTCGTTTAAGCAAGTGGAAGTAATATTCGACACTTGATATGAACGGGGCTGCATGACACACAGTGGTGGGTCTGGAACCGTTGAAACCAGTGGCGGGTTCGTAGGGCGTGATATTTAGATTTCAGTGGAGTTGGACGATGGAGCCAATGTTCCCAATTGTGTTGATTTTCCGACAACTTGAACCGAAGGGTGGTAGGGGTTACGATGTAAAAAACACCCACCCACCGCTAGTCAGTTCTTCTCAATGGTGTCTTGGTCTTAGCCTTTCTTTCATTAAGTTCTCAGTGAGTCTGCTTGCGACTTCTGTGACATTCTTGTCCCAGAACAATGCGCATCTTGTCGCTTGTTTGGGATGGTGCGACCGAGTTGCTTTTACCCCAGCTCGTCTCCTGAAGGATTCTCCGTCCCTCCAGGGATGTTACTTGGAACTTGAGGTACGATCCACTTTGAACCGATTTTATTCGAAGCTTAACTCCCAAATGCCGCTTAATCACTCATTAATAAGGCATAAAAGAGCGGTAGGGTATGGTTGGTTATGGATTCTGGTCGGCGACTTAAGGGCCCCAGATCATGGGTATGTTGGTTTTTTGTCAATCAATCAATTACTCGGCAAATCGCATTCAGCCGATCCCTACTATACCGCCAAGTAATTGAATAACCTTGATTGATTTGAAAAAGCTTGTTTGAAGCGGAGACCCGTCAATTGGTTACCAGGGTTCACTTGAGACGAACTGTTGTCTTCCCAAACGACTTTATATCCATCTTGGAAGAACCAATGGAGTTCTTTCCCCCTGAAAATGCTAATGATCTGGTATTAAAACTTTCAAAATATCAAGGTAAGCCTCCAGCGTTGAATAAAAGACCATTAAAGACAGGGGGCTATTCATGGCATCAGAGAAAGGACTTAAGACAAATTGATTCTGTTTGAGGGCCTTCGCGTGGACATCTGACACTAATGAGAAAGCGAAAGAGCAATGAGAATTTGTTCTGACACCTAGAGGCGGCTGGTTAACATGCCGTTTGGAGATTCTTCAACAGCTCTTTGACATAATCTAATCAAACCGTCAAAAATCCACACTACCCTATTCCAGCAACCAACAAAGCTTAAATAGTTAGTTTCTTCCCTTTCTAGGAGAGATTGGATGTTCATAGGCTAACTTATTTAAGATAGTGTTGCACCAAGAAAGGTTATTCGTAGGTAAACTGAAGAGAGCTCGAAAAAGCTTAAAGCAATACACTTCATTTCAAAATTTGGGATAGCGTTAGGACTAGTAACAACCCTTCAGCTAACTGACTGTTTCACTACCTGCAGAGCTACAGATTTATGCTAGTATTCCAAGGCCCGATAGAGATCTCGCTTGACATGGGAAACTACTTAGATTAATACAAACAGGCGCAGTGGCTTGGCTTGCACAAAGATAGTTAGGGCTGAGGCTGCGCTCAGCAGAAATATATCCATCCGAGCTGGGTAGTATTACTCAGACGGTACTGACCAACTACCTTGAGAATCTGCCCCTGTAACTCTCGATATCACCCTAGAATGTAAGATATCTGCTCTCATCATCAATACGTCGGATCCTCTATGCATCCAGCTAGTAGATTGGCCAGCCCAATTAATGTCACAGATCACACAGCATCGCCTCGTAGGGCCATGGGTGGTCATCAAGGGGGTGCAGCTTGCTGCTCCTCAAATACCAGCCCTATAACTCTTGAAAGTCATGCGAAGCACCCGAACGTAAACAAAAAAGATAACATTGCGCAAGTCATGACAGTCGACTTTGTTGTCGCAATCCCGACGTTGGTTGGATCGTGGCTCTCGTTCCTCGCCTCGACAACTGCCATCGTGCTCCAGATTGTTCGTCCACCAAGACGGCATTTTCGCCATGCTCTGATCATCAATTTGCTTGTATCAGGTACGCCGAGTAGCAGACTTCATTGTAACTCACGGGAGCTGACAACTTGTATCTGAGTAGACGCGATGAACACCTTGTCCAACGCTGTCTCTGGCTCCATCTTCCTCGCACAGGGTCGAATGCCAGGCGGCGAGACAAAACCAGACGCGGCGTGTATCGCCAACGCCTGCATCAACCAGCTCAGCGTGCAGACGATTGATTTAAACATCCTTGTTATATCCTTCACGGTTCTTCTTACTGTGTTGAAGACCGATCGCGTCGCTAATCTCTCGACCCGGTTTCAAGCGCTGCTCTGCATAGCTGCTTGGGCACCAGCTCTCATCACCAGTATGTTACCTCGCTTACAGGATCTATTATCACCTGCATATGCTGACACGAGCCCTCCTTTTAGGCAACATCGCGCTTGCGCTGAACGGGGTCGGCTATGTAAGCGGCAACTGGTGCTGGATCCGAGCTGACCGTCTGGATCTGCGATACTCGCTTACTCACGGCTGGCGCCTGTTTATATTCTTTGCGACGATTCTAATTTACACATGTATCTACATCCATCTCAAGAGGGTTTTCAGGAGAATCCGGGGTGTCACTACGGATCTTTCTCAAGCGAGCTATGACAGCTCCATCGTAGGAGGGCCCTACTCTCAAAACTCGGACAGGAACCGGGCTCTGCAACCCGACTCATTGCCCCTCGTCGATGAGCCACAACAAATACGAACCGAAGCAGCAAGGAGTCAAGTATCCGATTTAGCAACATCCAATCAGCTGCAAGTCGGCCCTGTTAAGGGCTTTCCCTCCAAGTCTTTGATGCCACCGCCCCCTAATCTCAGCAAGATGTTGCTACTAAACGGATATCCCATAGCGTACATCATCTTGTGGATTCCAGGGATCGCGAATCGGCTGACTGAGTCTCTGAACGGGGCATCTCTCCGATGGCTCAAGGCTCTGCAAGCTTCAACGCAGTTTATTGGCTTAGTGAATGCTGTCACGTATGGATTGAGCGAACAGATGCGGCAAAAGGCATGGAGGAGAATTAGAGGGGAGGTTTAAATCTCATTCCAGGAGCCATCCCAATTCTACAAGTAAAGTGCACAACTCAAGTTATGATATTGTGCTGAAATCTGAGTGAAGTGGTTGTACTTCGGTCGATGGTCAGCTAGAACTGTAATTAGTCTTGATAGTATACATGGATATATATTAGCAGCATACACATATCATACATAGAATAATTTATTCTGTTAGTCACAGTACTTTAGCGCCCTGGTCATTCGGAACGTATTTCACCCAAGTCAGAGCGTGATGAATTTGATTGTGCAAATAGAAAAAGAAACACCTGACGATAAATTCAGGCTAAGGATAG